AAGAAAGAAGGCCTAAGTTGAAATTTTCAAACAAAAAATAATTATGCATATGCAAATTAAACAAAAATATGCACACAGAGACTGCATATTGGGATTTCGCAGGCCACATTTTGATATCTGCTGGAGTTCTACAAGTTAAATAATTTTTCCTGTTTTTAATACCAATAAGAACGTTCCCAGTTACTATTACATTTTGGTACACATAACGCCAATATTCATTTGGTGTTATTCAGACGTGTTGCCACGGCACACGCACTTGTAATATCAAGATAATATCTCGATTTCCTTCAAATTATGAATCTTTCCAGACGGAATCATTTCAGAAGCTATTTGGTTTGGAAGGTCCGACGACCTTTACGATTTGTCTCATAACAACTAGGTCTACAGTTATTTTCTCCAACACTATAAACAACGTGCAATAGCTCTGAGATACGGTCAGTGGCCCTATAACACACAATCAAGTGGTGCCTTCAAGGCGTTACTCGTGCAATAAAAAAATAAGCAGATCTACCTCCATAAATACTGCCATATTTGTTGACTATATCGATGTGGTAAAAAGAAAAAAAGAATTCTGCCATTTATGTGTTGACTTTACAGTCGTAAAAAAAGTGCCGCCATATTAATTTTGTTGACTGTAGAAGTGACCCCCCCCCCTCCCCAAGGGGAAATACCGCCACATTTGTTGATGTACAGTTGTATTCCAAAATGCAAATATACAAACAAATTAATGTACTGAAAATATAATTGCCGTCATATTTGTTAACAATAAAAATGTACACACCTGAACTGCCACCAATCTGCTAACTGTAGGCTACAGGTGAACCAAAAAAACAATGTCATATTAGTTGACTGTACGGATGAAACAAATCGAAACCACATCTTTTTTAAAATAAATGCTGCCAAATTTACAGACGTGCCAAAAAATCCAGCAAAATTTGCCGGTAAACTTCTAAGGTGTTTGTTTTTCCCTATAAATAATGCGCATCATCACTACTCTCCTGAATGGTTCCCGCAGTTTTTCTACACGCCGAAGGTATTTTCCGTATGCAGCCCGGCTATTTACCTTTTAACACGAAGTGGATGCAAAACTGAGGGATGATCGATAGTGTCCTAGACTCGTTGAGAGGAAAAGGCGGGAAAAATTCGCGCCAAAAGTAATGCACATTGACCATGCACGTGTTTGTTTGGAATTCCACATTTGACAATCAATATTTTATAAATTAGTGTTTGACATATCACATGGACGAAGCTGTGTTTGCTCCTTGACATATTACTCGAATATCTTAAAGTATCATCGGGTTGAAACGAGGTATAGGTGTATTATACCTGGACAGATATGTATAATATGTAACATTGGGCGACGTCATGATGACGACATCCTAAAGGTGCATATTTTAAAGTCCTACATCTAGAGAATCAAGACTTGCGGAAACAGCTAATATTTCATGGAACTATGTTCGTGCTCACAAACTGATAAAAAAGGGGTAAAGCCGTACATTCTGTTCATCGAACAGACATAGATCTAGTTAAGTTTTAAAGACGTTACTTAAATCATTGTTCCAGTGTATTCCTTCAAAAGCTGTAATAATTATACCTAATTGAAACCACTTTGAAGTTATTGTAACAATTAGGCGTAGGTGAATAGATCCAAATTCATGTTTAAAAAAAATCGTGACTGTATAGTTTTCTACGTAAATTAAAAGAAAATGTCTTAACGTCGGTGTTTTACTTGTCAATGATTTATCCATTATATCAACTTCGAAGTCAGACCTTTTAGACCTGAATAACTGTTTTTAAAACGATCACATAACAATCGTGACTGCATAATTTACCACTTCCCTTGCATTTAAAATCCCATCAGTCCCGCAAGTCGGCGCACTTCTGAACTCTCGTAATCAGAACATCTTCCCATGCAGGCTGGTTTAAAGTTCAAGACTGATCCTTTACCAGCTAATTACACTCAACAACGAAGTCAACAACGGGCGAGCATTTCTTCTGAGTGGGCAATCTGTATAACGCGCTATCGCTTCTAAGGTTCGTTAAGAGACCTATCCACGCGCAACATCGTATCAGGAAATGGGGCCGCGTAATATTCAACATCAATCACACTGTCATCTCTCAGCTCGCCCGAAGTTTCATTGTTTCCCCCGATCCCCCTTTTTTAATCACTGCGATGAGTCAACTCACTTCCTCGAGGCAAACCAATGCAAGATTCCAAAAAGGAAAGGAAAATTGAAGGTGCATTTCTGCCAAACAGAAAGGTATTTTGGCGTTGGAATTATGCGACACAATTTTCAACACACTAGCTTTTGCCCATAAAAAGTTGCAGAAATCTGTCATCAATGTACCCTCGTGTTCCTCGGCGAGTTTATTTATGTAGATGTGGTCGTGCTTAATTGTAGTGTTTGTATTTCAGTCCCTTAACCTAGTTTTCATGCCATTAATGAATTCTTCTAAAAGGTTACTGTATTTATATACGTGTAACCTGTAGAAATAGAGGGGCCTATATCCTGTAAATATACATTGTGTATTATTCTGCAGTTATGCCTAACATAACACGACATTTTTTAAAGGGCCCATACAATCTAGTTTTTTTGTTTAATGCAGTACTTGAAAATGCACCTTTGTGTCCCATTTAACCTTATTTTGAATTCTGTTTTGCAATTTTCAAGGGTAATTTAGTGACTTTGGGTTTTTTTTTGCTAATGCAAATTTTCATATTCATGAGCAAAAGAGTGATGTCATTTCGGGCAGAAACCTCAATGTTATAGCTATTTCAGCACCAAAAGTTGCGATAATATTTTGCTGTCGTACATTGTTTGTTTTTTGGTGACTCGTCGGTTGTGTCAAAACATGGCACAATTTGAACAGAAACTCCTAAACTTAACAGTGTCTTCTTGAAATGACATCACAGCAATATCGCCCTCAGTTGACGGAAAACATGGCAAATTTGAAAAGTTTAAATAGACGTGCACTTTTCAAATAAATTAACAAAAAAAAAATAAGTCATATAATTTCATACATTTAAGAGGAGTAGAAAGTTGCACAAAATACGTTCCTAACAAAAATTCACTTTCACTTCATGACCCCTTTAACATTTCTTTCTAATCCGTATTATTTATAGTACACAAAAAGAAATTAGTATATCATGGCATTATGACGTAGGCATAGTCACACGTTGTGGGGAAACTTCCCAGCCAGGATTTAAAAAAAAATACTTTGGGTCTCAAGTTACACATCCGTGTACTATTTACCAGAAAATTAAGGCTACTAGTTAGCAACCGTGACTTGGTGTCTGTGAGTGCAGGAGGCGATGATGTTACAGCTGCGTTTGGCAAACAAGCTACCGCGCACGGTATATTGGACCGCGGTCCCTGTTCATGCTCATTACGGGCGCAAGTGTGACGTTTGTATGTGGCGGCGAGGCCGGGGCAAAACCGCGCGGGGAGACCCGGGCTAGTTCGAGAGCAAACTCGGTAAAAGCTACTGCGCGCGTCACCAGAACACTTTAAGATATTTGCTCATTTAAAAGCGGTGGGTTGCGGTGGGGGGGGGGGGCACAATGCAATTACTGGGTTCGAAATAAGGTTTGGCGAACTTCTGAGCGGATTTTACGGGAGAGGAACCTTGAAGTCTGCGGGGGAGTACGTAATACACACGCCTTCCGGTCACGTGATGTCAAAATACATTTTACGTGAGTCTTATAATGTGATTTTACCTGAACTAGTTTACATTCCGTGGAATAAACAATGGCGGATAGAACTTGGATTCTGACACATTTTCTCTGTATTAATGCTATTTACTATTAACTCTGTAGTCCTCTGCCTATTGGTAATTTGTACAAGATAAAAGACCTTCCTATACAATTTTGTATATGATTAAAAATAACATGTTTATCCCTAACGTCCTAGCCATTACTTTGGGATAAAAAACTGAGAAATACAGAATATCATGTACTACAAAAATGATGCATGCAGGCACCAAATAAAAAAATTTAAAAATGCTATGAGTTGTGTGCCCATTTATGTGCTCATGTACTGCATACTACTACCTGTAGTATTTTGTAGCTTTATGTGAGGTTAGGGCTAAACCAGTCATTTGTTTTATAACAAACACTGAGCACCATTTCCAATGAGCCTTCAATGTGCAGGAATCTATTGGTTGGTAACAGATTTTACCCACAATGGCATTAACAGTCTTAATACTGTGTATGGGAGTCCCAAAACTTAATTAGGGCCTAACCCATAGATTAAGGTATTGAATTTAGGGCAAAACAAGACAATAGAAGAACTTAGGCAATGCAAGAAAATAAACTGGCATGAAATGAATAAAAAACCAGTCCAATACCCCTTTAGTATAATTAGTCAACTGTGTCAAAAGAAACGTGTGGTACCTAACTGTATTTCTACACATTACTATGCCACCAGACTACTGAAGGGTCTGTTCAAAAAGTTGGACATGTACCAGTCTAGTCTTACAAGGCTTCAAATTGGAATCGCTTGGCATTACTCTCAGGTGCAAAAAGTTGAGGGAAAAAAGTTTCCTTTAAGCATTGTATTGAGACCTCAAACTTGGCTGGTGAAATACTAAGGACCTTGTTTTTGTCTCAATAATGACAATTTTGGAGAATTTTGTCAGTTTATTGGTGAGAGAGGTTGGCCTGCATGGGTTTGTTTTGCATTGTTTTTCAGCACTCAGGTTCCCAGTCTCGCACATTCACACCCTTGGCATTTATGAAAGAGATTTTTATTAGTTATTTGGTGTTTCTAATGGTCAAATATTTTATATAACCTATAATCATTTTTTTGGTCAAAGATGGCGGACATAAATTGCAAAGCTGTGGTTGGCAAAAGAAATTAGAAGAACTGTGACGTAGCAATTTTAGCACAATACTTTGACATAGTCCTAGGTCTCTAATCTTCCTAGCCAAAAGGGCCTAGGGGGTTAGGGATAAGGGTAAACATTAAACTTTAAAAGAAAATGAAATTTGTGTCACTCACCAACTTTTATGACTGACGGGGACACACGCCTCTCCGTTGTAACCACGCCCTCCAAAATATGCAAGAGGAGGAGACAGGGTAGGGCAATCCACTGCGGTAAATCCATGGCAACCAAAATATCACACAAATATCACACAATCTGCTGGAGTACTGTCAGCACAGCGAGTGCCTTCGTGGAGAAATGTCTCGATGTTGAAAACGGAACACTATTTAAAACATCCTCATATTTGGAACCGTTGCTTCATAAATTCATAATCTGGTCAAAAATTCAAATATCCAGAAACCAGTTTGCAATCCAGTAAAAGATTATCCTCCATGTGTTCCTTGAATAAATGAAAATATGTAGGCCGGCTTATCTTCAAAGAGTAGGTTGATTTCTTGTTATTGAAAGTTTACGACAGTACATACCTCCGAGTTCCGGTTTAGTCGGCGGACGGTTAAAGTTTACTAGAATCCCCCAGTTATGAATCCCGTCACAGCAGAAAATAATAAGTGACTGTTTCGACATGGCGGCGTTTACTCAGAGTATCAGGCTGCAACATTTTGAGGAATCCGAAGCAGACACACCCATTGTGGTAGAGAATTTGTCCGTCTTTCTCCACCAATTATCCGTATCGTGTGCGAAACCGGACACCAGAACTTGCCGTGATAGCGGTCGCAAATAACGCGGTTCACCACACGCGTCTCCGCTGACAAACTAACGAGGTCGTCCCGGACTCATGCCAACAGAAAACGAGGCCTCGTAAATTGAAACCGAGTAAAAACTTGATCACACACTCACAGTCACACCTCTTGTCCTCGCTGGAGATTCTGGAAGTGTAAATTCCGGCCGTGTTACGATGTGGAGACAGTCCCAGTTGCGACAGTTGATGTCCTCACGTCATTCCGAATAATTTCCTCCCGCCTGGTCTGATAGACCTCACCGTTGGGTAGGTCACCAACGCGCCGCTCGGCAGTCGGTAATTAGCGGCCAAGTTAATTACGGCATCAAACTCGTCGCGGACGAACTCCAATTCCCTTTGAAAAGGGAAGAGATGAGGACAATAATTAGGAGTGAAGTATCATCACCGTCCCAGGAATTCTCATCAATTTCGTGTCAGAGTCACAGCTGGTGGGAATTTAGGTGATGTACTTTGAAGAAAAAGCGAATCCCGCGTAGAGCTCACAGCACGAGTAACTGCAATATCCTCAGTGCATGTGTGGTATTATGATATCGCAGTACGCCAGAAAATCCACTTGGAAAATTACCAAACGCACTGCCATGAGACGATTGCTGTGATTGGCTAGTGCGCAGAAGAACGCGCGCTCCAACGAGTAATTTATCATAGACACATTGTCATTGGTTGATTTTTTTGGTACAATTTTGTTGGCAGACGAAAGGTATGCCTTGTTATTGCGGACAAAGCAATGTCGCCGTACCACAGGTGAAAGCTTGAACAATAAGGTAGCTGTATGAAGGATAAAGAATTTACAAGGGGAAAAAAATGCTTTGTCCAACTCTAATAAACTGGTCACATAGGTCGAGTTGCTGAATAAGACTCATTCTAAAGACCACACAGCGAACAATTCGTTGCAATGCATGTGGAATTATGGTAATTTGTTTAATCGCTTCATCCCAGACACCATTTTAGAAAAAATTGCGCTGCCGGCCATTTCTAATTTCGGCCACTGTCAATTTTAGACATATGTTCGCAAAAAGCCATCTATCATTAATTTTGTGTAGTTAATAAATAGTAAACAGAGACCAGACCAGGAAAATAATGACCATCTATCATCTATGTTATTTGGGATTTTACTTTTTTTCACCATGGTGAAAAAGACCGAGTGTAATGCATTAATGCAATATAGATCACATTAAAGCACAGTTACATTATAGGGCTTGCACAATATATAAAAACACTTTACCTCTGGAAACTGGATTCTAATGATGTCCACGCAGGTCTATTTGCTCTTGCCTGCCACTTTTAATTGGAGGTCACAAGAGGGTCACTCAGCGGGTATCCAAGAGTGTCTCGTCAAATTTGACTGCAAACACTGCATCTTTGGAGTTTCTCTAACTGCAGGCATATTAATAGATCACACGATCCCGTTGGTGTGAAGAACACGTTGAGGACTGATTCGAGAGAACACTCCGCGGTGAGGCAAATCCAGCGGGTACAAAGGGCGCTCATCGACCGGCTACTGGCTGGGTTTACCCCGGTGAAGAAGGACTCGTTTTACGCCTATCTTGACATGCCTCGCGGTGGGTTAGGCCTAGGCGGCTGTGATCGATCGTGCCATGTAGCCACCACACAGCTGATATAAGAGAGTGGCTTCCTGTTGGCTTTGTGATTTTTCAAGGAATATACGCGAGAAGAGAAACAAATGAGATGGATGGGACTTTGGGGGTATGCATGGATGGATGAACTGATCATTAGATAAACGGGGGATGGTTGAATGAGGTTCGCGGAAAACATCAAGCCCCGGGAATCCATTCAATAACTTAATACCTCTACTGTTGAATGAATGGAGGAATTTGGATAAGCGTTTGATCGAATTTGATAAGCAAATGGAAGCCTTAATCGTCAAGTTTGTTCCAACAAATCCACTGTTTTTTTCATTTGGTTTTTAAAAACTCTTGATTAATATAAAAAGAGGAGTGGCTAGTGATGTGTTACGGGAGGCAGAAAGACCTACATTGAGTAGTTTGCATTCGCAACTCCACTGAAAGAAGGTTGTTATACAGATCCACCAGCTTTGCACAATTTAATCACAAAGTAGGGCTCCGATAAATTCGACAAAAGGATAGCTGACAAGAATTTTGCAAATTAACTAAACATTCAAGTTGTCTTTTTTGTGCAAAAAATATTGTCTGTAGGCCAAAATGTTCTTGCACATACCTGTGTCAAGTTGTTTACTTGAGCCAACATTCCTGATGTCATATAAAGTTTGGACTCCCATGAAATCTGGTTTCTTTGACCTTATGGACAGTAACCCTCAAACGTGATCGCTTACAGTCCCAATAATAATTATCTTTACTTATATATTAGCATGCGCAATACAACCAATATGAGTTCGTTTTTTATTGTCCAAATTTCACACTACAACATGACTAATCTGTCTTGGTGCCTAGGCTTGGTCAATTCAGTATAACCTGAAAGTTATTTGAACGGGGAAAAACATGACTGAATCCTGACACCATGCCGTGAAAAATAGGCGTAGGCCTACCCTTTACTATTGATCTGTTAATGGCGGCATAATATTTGACGAGCGGATGCCACTTTTGGTAACATTTTTTCTATAGCAAGCACATGCTTTTCCCGAGACATTTTGTAGAATTCGATCAGTATCACTCACTATTCCCCGACTTCCAAATTACCCGGGCACATTTCCACCACGTTCAGCACACAGACTGGCCGTCACCAAAACCGCCTTCAAATACAATTTTCATGCAACGCGCGCCAATCCAATAAAGAAATAATGCCGTGATCTTGGCGCGCTCTGTGGCTCACGCCTGCAACTTTTCCCGCCAAAAACCGCGCGATACCATCAGCAGTGTGGATTTACCGATTATCTAAATGCCAATCCAGTTAAACCCGAGATTGCGAGGATTATCAACGATATTGCTGGCCCAAGTCGGTTCAATGTACATTTTCTTTTAATAAAAATTATTATTTCAAGATCCCTGTAAATTATGATGAGCGTTGGGCCTGAATTGTTTGGTCTTGCGACAAAAATGAGGCAATGAAGCTCTGGAAGTCGGTTTCTAAGCAGCTGGTACCATGGGGCCAGCCTAATGTTCTCATTGTATCTACTGACTGACTGACTGACTGACTGACTCCCCGACTGAATCCCCCAATGCATGACTAAATTAATGATTGAATACCTCACTGACTGACTGTCACCTGTTAATTAGCCTGGTTGTTGACTGGTAAAGCTGAGAGCCGGGCAGTGCTATCGGATAGGATTACCCCATAACGCCAGGCTACATATCCGACCTATAGCTATTGTGTGGGCCACATGCATGACTATTGGAGAATCAATTAAATATAATTTAGTGCACCGTGGGACTTGCTTTACTAGACTTGACTCAGTATTTTGTTTTATTTTCAACGTGTGCATATACTTCTTAAAATGTGTGAGGACTCTATGTGTTTGCGTGTACCCACAAATATTCAAATTCATTCATATCCATATCTCTTAATTGCGTACTAATTTGTTTCAACGGGATTCAGAAAGGAATAAGAAATACGATTCAATTTTCACGACAACTCTCCTTTAATAGACCGATCCTTTAGGCCCCGCCCACTGCATGCCCACGTGGGCGATAATTACATAATACGCCTCTCCAATGCAACACTGCACATTCCAGTCGCGCGCGTCATGCGCATCTGTTGTGAACGCGTGTCGGACACTCATGGCTGTGATTGGTCAAAACATCTTTCTTTGGGCGGGGTTTTTTGATGGATGATATTAACATGTAAAAACTTGTAGTGTGGCACGTGCGTCGAGGCACGCAACAAACAAACGCAGGTACAGTCGATCCTTCCAGCTTTGGAAGTTTCACAATCGGAGACACAGCAAATTCATGAAATTCCACTCGGGTTTTTAAGAAATGCCAATAAATCGATGAATGTTTCCATTTGGCTGATGCAAACGAGTTTCGTGGCACGTCCGGCCGACACATTTCCACTTGAGTGGTGCCAGGGACGGAAGTTAATTTCTTGAAATCCCACGATTCTAGGGGAACTTTCTGTGCTTTTTTTTTCCAAGGCGGCTTGCTCGTAAAGGTGTTTTTTTTTCTGTACATTGTCCAAACTTGGTCATCTTATGTCGGAGAATAATAGTAAGTGGATACATTTCTAATATAATTTATAAATTGTACACGTCACAGCCATGTCAAACCACTTATATCGTTTCCAAACTTTTAATTTCAGAGTGATAGCGCTGGCGATAATCTATATTCACAAGCCATCATAACATGAATTGTATATGAAAAGAATTGATTGCAATGTGTTTAAAACCAAAAGATTTAATTTTAGGAGTAAACAATATGCAGTAAGTTGAGCAAGCGTCCCGGAGCCTCGTAGGAATCCAAAGACTTGCGCCCTAGCCACATGTGGCTAATGTGTATGATCGTCACAAACTCAAGCTACTAGCACCGAAATTCTCACCTGGGGCAGCTGCGGGGCGTTATTGATGTCCCGGGCAACTTAATTGGCAGAGTGGACCCAAATCACCCGTCAAAGAAGGGAGCAAATTAACCGGCTACCTTGGTCTGTGAGTCTTTCACTTTTCAGAATGCAAAGTTATGCTGAGCTGAAAGCCCTTGCCGTCTCTTCACGTTTGTAGCTTTCACTTTATATTGCTCGATCGTGATGCTTGATGTTAAAGTTCGTTGAACTTAGTGATTCCTTTTTTTACTTTGTTCTAGAATTAAATGGCTTTCCCCCTTCTTCTTCTCACAAAATGCGTGGTTAACTTGTAAGGTTACATCCAAAAACAATTACTTCGCATTTTTAAACACATAATTTTTTATCTATTCCAATTACACGACAAATTTATTTTCGTTTTAGATCGAGAGGCTCTGATTGAACAAGAGAGGGCGCTAATTCAGTTGAACAGAAAATCAACACAGACAGTGCACATCATTGGGAAGACGGCTCTTATATCTACCCAAAATGACGAATATTTCGGCAGAAGGATTAGCAAACAAGTTGAAGGAGAATCTCCAGGCATCACACGTTGTAAGGAAGCAATCTGTCGCAGTTGCAATTTAGCGTGTGTCTATTAATTACAGTAAAATCGGGCATTCTGTCATGTCTGTGGGGCGGGGTTATGGGCGGGGTTAGCGGGTGGGGTGGCCAAATTGAGAGGGGGCATTGCATTAAAATGGTGGGGATAGTACAGTAAATATCTTATCTGACTTGTGCAGTTGTATGGAGAGTTGGCTATTTTACTTTTTAGCGATGAATGGACAAAAACATGCAGATTAAAATTTAACTTGATTTCATAAATATAACTTTAAAAGACAAAATTTTGTTGGATTCTTTCAGGAAATGGAGGATGTATCTAGTGGTTGTGGGGCTAAATTCAATGCAGTTATAGTCTCGGATAACTTCAACGGCAAACCACTTCTGCAGAGACACAGGTAGGCCTAATTAGAACTTCTTTCCTAAATAAACATTCTCATCCGACACGGAAGGCTGAATTTCTCTTTTCAGCCAGTACAGCTAACAAAATCACTCTGTTAGTTTTTAAACCTATTGTCTGCTCTCTCATTTATAAAAAAAAAAAGGGAGTTATATGTTTTAACAAATTATCAAAGCGCTATACATTATGCAACTATCAATTGTTCTTTCGTGCCTTTAACTTAACGTCGGAATTCACTTCTTCTTTTTTTTGCAATGAAAAAGGATGGTCAACGACTGCTTGTCGGAGGAACTCAAGATTATCCACGCCTTCTCCATGAAGACACTCACGCCGGAGCAGTGGACGAAACAACAGAATAAATGACCCCGGGCTTGTGACCTTTGACCTCAACTGAGAGAGAAACACTTGGGACCTTCAAATCAGGCTGCGTGCCGTCTGGAACTACCAATGGATTGTTCTCAAGACCGAAAGAAAACAGGAAAACTCCTCCAGTCCAAGTGCTGCCCAGAAATTATGAGACAATTTAAACTGATTGTACAATGTTTGTGGAAATCCTCGTGATATTTCTCCAGTGCAACTGCCTTCGGTCAGTATTAGTAGTGCATCTAGCGGGAGCAGAATGCGGAAAACATGTATCGATTTGTGTCCCATTTTTCGGCATTCTGAAAAATGCTCCAAGATGCAACTCTGTACAGTAGATCAATGACTCGCTGTACTGTATGCGTTTATCATTATTTATTCTTGGTAAAGAAACAAAGGCTTTAATACTCAAAAAGGGAAAGATTTCCATATACGAAGTTCACTCAACACCTTGTGTACAAACCCTATGAGATTGGACTGAAAAATTCTAAGTGTTTTCTAAGAAAATGCTTGTATTTTCTCACTGCTCAAATTGACTTTGATGACATGAAATTGCTATCTGGGGGCTTGTTAGTCAATACAGAGGAAAATTAGTGAACTTCGCATATGGTAATCTTGCCCTCAAAAAGTGCCCTACGCACTGTAGCTTGCAAGCTAGGGCTGTGCTGAATATACGAAATATTCGAATATTCGGTCATCAACCAAATATCCAAATAGCATATTGTTTTTAATCAGATATTTGAAAACTGTGAGATGATGAGAAACATCCACAATGTTGTTTTAATCATTATAAGTTGTGTGGATTTATATTGTTTCTAAAATGCCACACTTTTGTCGAGATCCACTTTGGCACATGATTATGAGAGCTTCCATAAGGAATATTGGCTCAAATTTCTTCTTTACTATCGGTCCGTAGCATCAGCCTCTGCCTCTTCCTCCTTGTATTACTGTATTCAGCCCTATTGTTAGCCTGAAGAAACCTGTGGATGGAAGATAGTTAAAAATAAAATCAGTTTTAGGAATCAGCTAAGGAGTGAAAACTGTTATCAATATTTCACAAATTGGATCTTTCACAATTCACATCCTTTTGAGTGTCTCAATCAAAGACATAAAATTAAGAATTTTAAAATGCAAAATAGACCCCGACCATGGCATGCCAAACATGCATGAACAGCATTTCAGTAAAATCATCTCTACGAGATCAACTGTAAAATGCCCTCAAGGCGTTTAAGGTCACTTGTCCTCGGAACAAATATTTTCCTTGAAATAATTATCCCGTTCAGACAATTAATGAGGTGGTTAAACTTCCTGTCTCCATTCTTGTTAGAATTATGCAAGGTTGTTTAGTCCAGTGATTAAATCAGCCATAAAGTCACACCGACAGGTTCGTAATTTAATAGTTTTGTTATGTGGGGAATATCTATAATTGTCAGCCAAGGGTTTTTTTTAAGTCGTGATGAAGATGTCGGTTTTACTAAGTTGAGCCGACCACAGGCCCCCAGCCTTAATGTCACTGACTCATTTGATTTCAATTTGGAGTTAATAAAGTGTAAATCTTTAACATGTGCAACACAATTTGCTTCAGGCAAGAGTGATGTGTGTGATGTTTTGTTGGCAGTAAAACAATTTGTGAGGTTGCCATGCGGAAGTGCGAGTGACCCTCAAAATCTGGTGACCCCGGTTCGAATCCAGTACAGCCAGTTTGTTTCCAGTGGTAGATTGGGGGATGGGGGGGGGGGGGGTGGATTAGTAAGGCACCTCTTGGCCCACCAAAAATAGGAACATCATGCAAAAGAAGCACAGGACTGCTCCCCCCCCCCATTAGTCTTGAACAGAACAGCTACCCCCCCCCCCCAGCCAAAGCTGCATCCGGCCATCGTTTCCATCATGTTCCAGAATTAAAGGCATCCACAATCATAAATTCTTGAAAAATTTTGCGACAACCATCATGACATCTCTAAATTCTAATGTGCAGAAAGCCAATGGTCCTTTTTTTGTAATTGAATTCTAAAGCTGCATGAAGTCCCATGCGAAGTAATAGTGGACGGGCTCTGCACAAATTAACTGAGAAACTGACAACACGTATAATTTTAGTCATAAGGTTCAATTGGCCCACAATGGGTAATCCTATACAATAGCACTGCCCGGCTCCCGCCAAACAGCCAGGCAAAGCTGCAAGTGACGGTCAGTCAGTCAAGTACAAAGAGGATCATAGGCTTGCCCCATTTGTGACCAGCACAAAGATTTACAGGGTTTTTTTTAAGTACAATAGATGTATACCATCTTTAAAGGGAAATAAAGAAGCACTCAAAAACAATTTCTGACTTTTTAAAAATCATTTTAGGTTTATTTAGTATATGCTGATGCTAACATTGAAAGTTGTTATCTCTACATGACAATAGCACAGTTACATTACATATATCAAATGAAATAATATTTGATGCAAGATTAGATGAGGAATTGTAGCAATTTCAACAAAAAAATGTGACTCGATCAGATAAAGGAATTGTTTCTCACGGATTGAACTGCATGTTTTCCCAAATACATGATATGCATGTTTAGTTCATGACCTTGCGTGAAAGATATTTTGTTTGTTTTCATTTTTCCTCCATTTCCGACTCATAACAGACTAATATTCATTCATCTCCATAATACGATCTTTTCTGGAGCTTAGAATCACTGATCCAAGTTTGTGAGCAGTTGTGCAGTCGGACACTTTTCAAATCATTTTGATTGAAACATTTTTACAGAAGATTAATGAAGATTAAGATAATGAATACAGCATACGTTTGTGCAGTACCAAAGGTAAGAAAACTGTAGAGTTTTTTTTTTACACCTTTTTGGAAATGATTTTCAGCTCGTGTGGGACTTGGGGTCCCCGTCACTCTGGAAATCAGGGAAAACCTTGAAATTAGTTATTTTTCCTGTCAGGGGAAAAATCGGGGAATTTGAAAGTGACACAGAAGTGAAAGTTTTTTTGCCAGTTTGGTGTTATGTGCATCTTGTGCCATGTGTCCAAGTTGTGTCTGTTGACTGACTGGCTATGGAGGCTATTTAGTGTTTATGCAGCGTACACACCTCTCCAGATAATAACATTTGGCTTTGCTACACCAGCTCTTGACTTTTCAGCAACCTCGCTAAAGTGAACATATTTCTCATGGATTTTTTGGAAATTTCCCCAGGAAATATCACGGAAAAGTCAGGCAATTTTGTTTCATGAACTGCTGGGAACCATCAGGAATTTTAGTTCATGTAAATGCACAAACCAACATGATTCAAAATGTCAGGTTTTGAGTCTATATGCAAAATAAATACCCTGCTATATGCTTTGTCGCTACAATGACATGGGACGTTTTGAAACAAATACTAGCACCAATAAATAAATGGCAAAAGACACAGTATGATACAAAGTTTAAGCAATTAAGATTAAAATATGACCATTATTATAATTAGTTCCATTATCTATTCTATCCAGGAAAAAATGTTATAATCGTGAAACCAATAAAATTAAAGCCTCTTTTTTTGTGCAGTGCATTTTAAATTGTCCGGATATTGTTCGTTGTTCAACGGATATAATTATCTGTGCAATGCAAAAAAATTTCGACTCCGCGCGCCAGCCAATCGGAGTCGACTTTACAAACTGTGACGTCGTTTCTAGCAGAAATTCAACAACGGGTTACCGAAGACCTGATAGAAGGGGCCTGCTGAATGGTCAGAATCTTGAGGTCAATATGCAGGCTGTTTGGCATACTTAATCACCAAATCTGCAAGCGGCTATTGCAATGTACAAGATAAGATGAAATACATCACACCAAAAATTTTATTTTAACAATTTGGGTACTTGAAAATTAGCACACGCCACTTATAATATTGAATTAACAGCCAAAGTAATTTAATGACTGGGTAGACTATTAAATTCAAATCTGGGAGTGATTATTGCGCAGGGAAAAAAAACCATGGTTACATTTCAGGATGTTAATAACAGAAAAGTATAAAATATTACGGAATACAAAAACCGTGATTAAATTTTTTTTTTTTTCTAAAACAAAAGCTTACAGTCACAGTACTGTAATACACAGACAGCTACATAATTTTTTTAGATACTATGACAACAAGTTTCTACGACAACGCATTCCTACACATTGAGAGGCACATAAAGTTTGTCAAAAAGTTACACGTACATGTCATTCTATAAATTTAGGGTCCAAAGTCTGACATTTTTCCTGTCCCTGTTACCTTGGTACTTTGTGCTTTACCATTCAAATATCATTAAGAACTTTAAAAGATTGTTCATTTGTTGGGTAGGTATTTTGCTATTCGTAATCACTCATGGAGGATGACTGCATTAAGGAGTGCATCAGAATTATAAAATCATAGATGTCAGATGTAACAGGGACAGGAAAAAGTAGACCCTATATTTGTAGAATGACCCGTCTGTATTCGGAGATATTCTACAGATCTGGACCAGTCTCATGGAGATAAGCGAAAAATGTTCTGCTAACCGAGCCGCCATCCATTTCAAGGATGGTGTAAGCAGTAAGCACAGAAAAAAGTGCTAACTTCAAAAGAATTTGCATAAAACGGGGAGGCAATGGTAGAAATCTCTATACACATGAGGGTTATATTGACACCGAGAAAAAGAACGAAGATTAACACACTTTTTCTGCTATAAAGAGCAGAATTGTTCTCCTTATCATTCAGCGGCACTATGAATTTGGCCCCTGAATACTACAAAGGACCTGTTGTACAATTTTTGTTCCTGGATTTACTTCGGAAGATGAATGATCTACGATGAACACTTGCCGACTGCTCTTCACTTTGTTTTTTACTTGCATATTGAGCTGTAGAAATCCACATTCGAGGGTCCGTTGAAACTGCAAAAACCAACAAATACAGTGAGTTGAAAGATTGATTATTTACTGTTTCCCCCCCCCAGTAACTCCGCCTCCCAAAATGGGTGTAATCCCCCTGTTAAACGCCCCTTCTTTGACACTGCTGACTGACTTGTGATGGTCTTGTGATGACTTGTAATGACTTGTGACTGACTTGTGACTGACTCGCTAAGACTTGTGCCTGACCTGTGACGACTTATGAAAAATTACGATAACTTGAGACTGACTTGTGATGACAATTAATAACTACTTGTGACAATTTATGATGACTTGTGACAACTTAAGACAACTTGTAACAGCTTATGATGACTTGTGATGACTTGTGACAACTTATTATGACCTGTAATGAATTGGGACAACTTACGATGACTTGTGACAACTTATGATGACCTGATTACAAATAACAACCCCTTTGTCTTTCCGACACAAACCTGTCTGTGATTTGGTCCATCCATCTCAGACATCAGCATTGGCCGCTCCTTGCTGGGCCTGCATCTGGGCCTGCATCTTAGCCAACATCTCATGCATCCGTTTCAACTGCAAAGAAAGAAATAACCAATGACATCAATTAGAAAAAAACAGTACTTTGCAATCAGGTCACATTAAGAAATGTGACACGGGCCATTTTCAAAACCCAGGTTTCGCTCAGGCTTGGCTTCAGTGTAGGGTACCGAATCTTTTAAATGATTTTTGTTTGAAAAATGGCATACAGAATAATTATTTAATTACCTCGTTCTCTTTCTCTTGGAGCATTTGGTCCTTTTCAGAAGTATCATCTCTGAAAGTAAACAAAAAACAACAATATCTTCAAAAACATCTGGAGACTTCAATAGCAAACATTCTCAAAAATACATCTCAGTCATTCTATAAATTTAGGGTCTTAATTGTAATTTGCCATTCTATTCAAGTGTGGTTAAAAATGAGGACAACCTATATTTATTTGTTAGATTGGTAGTTTGCTTTACATAATGACTCTCTAAGACAGGCATCTCTAAGAAGGCATGAAGAAGTACATCAGAATTATAGAATCATAACTGTAACAGGGATGGGAAAAAATGTGGACCTCAAATGTATAGAATCACCATTCTACTGCTAATGTTTGTGAGCTCAATCTTGAAGATGCTCACAGCTATCTGCCTGAAACGTCTATTCACAACTCCCATCAGTGGATGTGTTGAATGTTAGTTCTTTTGAAAATTTGAACAAATTCATGATGAGGCTGTGCCCATACCTTGGTGGTGGGGGAGCGCGCTGGGATGGCCTCCCACCGCGCACTTCCTTTTCCCCGCCCCCGCTTCGGGCCAGCTTCTCCGAGCGGAAGTTCTCGTAGTGCACCTCGTGGGTGACTTCTTGCAGGTCTTGCATGTGGGTGCTGCCGACAAAATGAGTAAATCAGGAAAAAACATGCTTAGCACCAAAAAAATATGCTTAGCAAAAACACTTGCCACTAAAAATATTAATGTGATTTTATTGATTTGCAGTTGATTTCTGCTAAACACGTAAATTTGCTAAGACATTTCCCCTGACATTTCCCTGAAAAACTTCAGAAATTCCATGAGAAATATTTTCACTTCAATGAGGTTGTTGGGAAGTCAAGAGGTGGTTGCAGCAAAGTATCTACTACTGACTGGATATATTCACACTGCATAAATACTAAAAATCCATCGTAGCCAGTCAATGGACACAACGTGGACACATGGCACAAGACGCACATACTCCAAACCTGGCAGTTGATTTTTCCCTGATTTGGGTTTTTTTTACCCCTGACGGGCAAACGGGAACTCATTTTCAAGGTTTTTCCCAGATTTCCAGAGTCGTTGGGAACCCTGTTTCTACTTCGCAACTGGTCCTCATATGACGCTAGGGGGCGCTCTTTTTCTCGTATTCTTTTCTTTCTTATTACCGATAGTTTACAGATACATGGAGGGAAACAAGATGAGTAGATGATAATAAAACAGTCATGGTACCAAATAGTGAGGTTGTTTTTTTCAAGAAAACTCTATTTTTATTTACTAAGACAACTTACATGAGCATACTACGGAGCTTGATGAAATCACAGTGGTCCGGATTCTCAACTGGAAATAAAAACATCAACAAAAGTAATTTTCAATTATTGTGAAAAATTTTGCAAGCAATCTGAAATGCAACAATATTCAAGTCCAAAACCCAATTAAAAGTCTTCATTAACAATTTTCCAAATTTGATTTCGGAATTTATTTGGATTACGAACCTTCTACTACACCCCATGGGTAGAGCCTCCCTCGCACTTTGCGACCTTTGACCTCGATCATCTGACTGGAGCCGCAAACAGCAAAAGGCACTCCAGCCTAAACAATTTAAATTTAAGAAAAATCTGTTAGATTTCGAAGAAAAAAACAAAGATTGATACAAAGTTGTGATTTGTGTTCTTCTGAAGGAACCGTCCAATTTTTCTGGGAAAGTTAGGGTTGAAATATTCGACAACAATTTTGTTCTGACCTTGAGTTGCTTGTTCTGCTCTTTGAAGTCTTCATCCTCATCCGAGTCGGAGTCCGGCATCTGATAGATCCTGATGTGATTGTCCTCAATCTCACTCATGATCTAAAAGAGATTTTTGAAGAATAATTAGTCATTGAAACATTCATTCTCACCATTCAATTTTTTGAACACAAAGTGCTGTCTGTCTGCATGCCAAAAATATTCATGAGCTTTCGACCACCGAACTTGCCGGGGTCGGTTGGCTGGTTAAAATCTGATATAGCAAAACAACTGTTAAGTTTGTCACAAGCCAATATAGCCCATCAGGCCAGCATTTATCTCCGGTTTCCTTGGCATGAAACGACTGAGAATACTCCTCTTGGATGGGATGCCAGTCCATCACAGGTTACTCCCCAGCTAATGCCGGTACCCATTTATACTGGGTGGAGAGAGGCAAGTGGGGTGAAGTGGCTTGCCCAAGAGCACAGCATATGGCTAGCAGCTGGATTCTAACCCCTGACCTCTGATCATAAGTCACAAACCTCAACTACTAGGCCAAACTCCCCGACAGATATGGTAACAGGTACACAATACAACATGAAAATATCATACACAATGAGAGTATTATACGACATAAGAAAATCATAGGATATGTCCTCTTTGTTGACCAAAAACCTACAAAATTTTGCCTATTTTTTTAAAAATAAACTGTTGGTCCTGAAACTCTACCTTGGATTTTAGAGCCATAATCTCCTTCCTAGTGAGTGTATCGGCCTTAGCAATGACTGGAACGATGTTGACTTTGCTGTGTAGCGCCTTCATGAACTGAGCATCCAGGGGTTTCAGCCTAGGAAATTTAAAAAAAAATAAAAAAGGACGGCGATTCACACATCAAAGGAATTTCTGAATGAACCAAATCCATTGGAGTATGGCAAACATCACAATGAAACTTCAACAGTTGATGTTATGAAATTCGCATTCCTCTTCACAATTGCAGAGATACTCAATGCTAATGCGAAACTCCTTCACACGAAAGTCTTTAAGCTCGCAATATAAACCATTTTAGAAGGAATATTTCGAAATCTTACCCGTGTCCAGTCGGGGAGATGAAATAGAAGCAGCAGTGGACTCTGTTATCGATGATGTTACGACGATTCAAGCCACTCTCGTCATTCAGGTAACGCTCGTATTGATCATCAATGTAGTGAAGAATCGGATCAAAACTGAAATAAAAAATTTGAAATCCATCAAGATTTTTTCTACGAAGCTACGAAGCACAAGTTGTAGGTCTATTATCTAGTCTCCGAAACTAAAATTTGTCCACAGTACCACAGAAATACTAATGGCATCCAATAGACCATTATCATGTTGCAGCCATTTGATTTTTTCCATTCAGATCAATGTAACCAAAGCGAGGCTGGAAGGAAAAATAGTCTGGTACCTTTTTGCACAAAAACATTATCATTCAGTACGTTATTGGATACAGGGAACATGAATAAAATGGTGGAAGCACGATAAAGGTCTATAGATTAGCCTATGGGCTCCGTGCACAAGTACCCCCTCAATGGTAAGAAAGGGAGAGTTTTGGCAAACTACTAGGAGAGACATTTGAACGCCTTGCCGCCGACGCCTGACGCTCACGCGAAGATGCTATGGTTTTGTGCACATTCGGAATAAAATAAGCCGTGCCAACTTTGTGCTATAGGCGGCCAACCAGGACATGCACGCGGTGTGTCCCATCCTTGGGCTCTCAAAAGCGGTCAAAAAGCGCCCTCTCTTGTTTGCGCACGGAGCCCATTCTGGGATGAAACAAACACTCACCAGTCGTTATTATTGATGGCATCTCCGTAGCCTGGAGTATCCACGACAGTCAGCCTCAGCTTCACGCCTCGCTCCTCAATCTCAACGGTCGACGCATCGATGCTCACTGTTTTATCAATTTTCTCTGCATCAAGCACAAAAATAAACAAGGATATGCTTTCCTATTTTAAAGGCATGTGGGATCATTTGCATTTATCCCAAAAGTAACCGATTATCAAAAACCTTCCTTGGATTAAAGATTGTTCTGGTACTAAACACCTCGTGAAATTATTCTGTCTGGCTTGCTGTCGTTTAGAAGAAATCCAGAAATGTTCATAGGTGATTTCCAATGGTCAGTCAATTGACTGAGTTTTGGAAATAAAGAGTGCTATGATGTTTCGTGATCAAAAGGTTTTCTTGAAATAACAAAAAAGTGTAGTATCCACGGAGCTGAAACTTCAACAGGCTAGGTTTGGAACATTCGTCTTTGGATTTTGAGAGGTGTTATTATTAGAAATGAACAAAATGCATGAAACGCAAATGATCCCATATGCCTTTAAGCTGCATCCAGAGACAGTTTAGGACATAATTGACAGTCAGTCTGTCAGTGACTCAGTCAGTTTTGCTGGCCCCAGCAAGAAGCTTATGACAAGTTTGGTTCTCTGGACTAGGAGAAATCAATTTATTTTTTCTTCAAAAGGTTATATAGCAAGGAGTCAAATTTTGTAAAAACAAAAATAAAATGACAAAACGGATTGGTCTGGTACCTGATGCACTTGGTATATGCCTCTCTGGGTAGAGATCTGTGAGGAACAGGCTGTTGATCAGTGTGGATTTCCCGAGACCAGACTCACCTGAAACAGAAATTTATTACACAGATTATTAAAAATATACACAGATAACAGTTCCTTTTGGCACAATTTTTAGCCTTATATTAATTGTGTCCTGTTTTGATTCCTTAAGTTCAAATCAAGGAAAATCAATTCACTAGTCAAAGAGTAGAATCTGCAGTAATTGTCACACTATATAATGATGCTTTCACATAACATAAATAATGTCAAACTCAATGAAATTATTTGTGTAAGTACCTAAAACATGTAAAAGTCTCTCTTTCTTCTAATTGTTTTTGCTTGTGTTGCCGTTTGTTGTTAATTTTGTTATGAATGGCATGCTGCTTTTGTTTAATTAAACTAAAGATTGCCAATTGATGCTCCCAATCAATGCACTGACAACTCACCAACAACCATAAGCGTGAACTCAAATCCTTTCTTGACGGATTTCCGATGGACCTGATTGGGCAGGTTGGCAAAGCCAACATAGCCCGGTGTCTCTGGGTTGGAAAACTGCTGTAAGAAAAAAAAAAAAATAGAAAGTGGGTATTAAGCTGTCAGTCTTCTTTTACTATTCATGTTATTTTAAATTGACTCCTACATTTAATTGCAGAGTTTATATTTTCTTTTTCTGATTCCAGGCTCTTGAGGATTTTTTTAAACGGGACATCAAGTCCGAAATTATATAATGGTCTGATTCCCATCATGCCCATCTTGAGAATAAGAAGTCACAACAACAATGTTGGCGCGGAACCAGACAATGCCTGACTAAGATTTGTCCCTTTTCAGTGCTGTGCCAGCTTAATATCATTAAAGCCGGCTTCAGCCAAATATACACTGCCAAAAAATAGCAGTTTAAAACTAAACCATCAGGACCATGTAAACATGATATTAAGAGACCTATTATTAAAGTATTAGGCCTAGGCCTATAGTATTAAACTCTAAATTATAATTCTGAAAGGATGAACATGATGGAAATTGATAGAAAGACACACATCATAACTATAAAACGTCATTAAGCATGTTAAGAATTCTTTTTAATCCATTAAATACAAAGGGTAAATACAAACTAGTAATAACCGACATTGGCATCCCCATCATAGCACTAGTATTAGCAGGCTATACAAAAAGTGTGTTTTTCTCTTTTGACATTGAAAAGAAACGACTTTAATCACCAAAATATCTTCCACTAACCTGCGCTCTTGAATCTTTCCCAGACATCATTAAATAACTAAGGCTCACTGTGAAAGAATTAGACAAACAATTCTTCAAAAGGTTGTCTCGAACAGACAAAAGCAGCAATTTTATAGACAATCCCTCGACGACCGACAGCGTTAACTACATCCACAGATATATTTCGCCCATTGAAATGTCACCTTGTTCCCAGTTGGATCTAACTCGACCGTAGTTTTCTACACGATCCTGCTGAAACGAGGTTGAAACAAAAACCACAAATCCAGCCGTATTCCCAGACGTCTTATTTATTTTACGCGCAGATCTCCATTGTGTTTACTCCCTATGTACCAGACTAAGTACTTGTGTCAAGTGACATTCCATGAGTTCTTTCAGACTGACGAGTACCTGTCAATCAAAAAAGGTTACACCCCTCAAAGCAAATAAGCGTGGCTGGGGGGGGGGGGGGGCTGAAGAAATATATTATTGTAAACGATAAAGAAATAATTTAATAGCTTTCCATATATAGAAATGTTGGCTATAGCAATGAATTGAATGAAAGTAACGAAGATTTTGAGATATATCGGTATAACCCCCCCCCCCTCAAAAAGGGAAGTTTTAGGAATTTTAGGGAAGTCCCCTCGCTTACTTTTTGGGGAAAACACTTTTGCCTTTAAAATATCTATGACCAAAACCAAGCTGAAGTTAAGGGTTGGGTTGACTACATGCTGAACTTCGTGTGATATTCCACAGGATATGACAACATTCTGGAGTTTTACATTTTGACATCATAACCAAACCATCTTCTGGTGTTACGGTGATCATTTTAATTCAAGTGGGCCTGCGTATTGCTTTATCACCGAAATTAATATTTTGTTGAATGCGCTTATAACTAAATTTAGGAGAGGTCAACAGAAATTAATCAGAGGAAACGGTAAATCTAATCCGTGACAACGAAAAAAACAAAATAAGTCGATGACAAGTTACACTTCTTTATTGACGGCTACGTTTGCAAGGGCTTTAGTTTTAATTGTGAGATTCTTTTTAAAAGAGTTGTCACGATCAGGGAAAAGTTGTGGGATCGCAACACAGACATTTACAAGTTTAGTTGTCTGTGGTGGTAAGTTAACACGACATTTGCTCTCACATTATTTTGTTTCAGAATTTTGCAACGTCGTCTTGCACGGGACAAACGTGCCTCATGGTCTACATTAATTTTCTTTCAATAGAGGGCGCGCCACATTATTAGTGGTCACCACCACGCATATCAACACGGTTGAACATACTCTATGTTTTGGGAAATATAACTCAAGAAATGCCTGACTGATGTATTAAATTGTAATTTCGTTCAGTTATGATATGTAGCATTAAGAGATTTTAGTTCATGAGAAACCGTCAAACAATAAAAAATAATATGACCGAACATGCAATAATAGTATGTTAAAAATAGAGTCCAAATGAAAGTCAACGTGCATGGAATAACACTCGTTTCAGGCACAAGACAAACATCAATTGTATTAAATTGATAATTCGTCGTGATTGGTCGTGATGTATCAAAGATTTCTCATGAATATCGATAGGAATCGTTTGCCAATACAAATAATAAAACCAAAACAATGTAGTGCGCGAAAAATACAAGCCGAAGTGAAGCCAATTTTCTTTCAAAAGAGGGCGCGCTACAAAAATAGTGGTCGCCACCGGACGTAAAGAATTATTTTTGTCACCGCGCGTGGGGAAAAAACCTGTCTACAAAAACAATACACTCGTTTCCAGACGATACGCTCAAAAACACTTGTTGTATTGAATCAGGTGTTGCACGATTCCTGTGAAAATAGACATGCTCGGGGTATGCGAACGGAGGTGGACTCCCTATTCGCGGTAGGCGGGAAACGTTTTTTTATAATGATCTCAACTTTTTAAATCAAAGGCCTAGTTAATGTTTGACCAAAACATCTCCTGAATAAAGTCTGCTATTTTCCCTGTAACGTTCAAGTAAATTAAAGACTATATGCCTGCAGAATAATAATAAGACCCTGCCCCTCCCCTAGTCCACTGATCTCTATCATATACTGTATCACCCGTTGTATTATCCACGGAGCCAAGTCTATTGATTGGCGAATGGGGGCGCCATTCACTTTACACGGTGTGCCCTTTTATTTTTTGTAGCCAAGTATATTGATTGGCGAATGAGGGCGCCATTCACTTTACACGGTGTGCCGTTTTATTTTTTTTTAACGCACTGTCCTTATTTTGATCCCGTAAAAGGTTTCAAGACTTTGCGGTGGAAATATCGTCCTGCGACTTCATTCGCGTTTGCGGCAGCTGTGAATGGGAACCAGACAATGGAACTTTCATGGACAGAGCACCATTAAACATTAATGTTAAAATATAGACGGTACCTTTTTGCAGACACGGTGAGAGGAAATTTGCAACTCGATAAAAATCGCCACTTGAATAAGATTAAAATGCTGCGATAATGTCAATTGGGAGCCCGACTATATTACAATATGCAATGTACATCTGGAAAAAAAAGTTGCAACCATACATTTGGAAGTGCGCCCTCTACAGGTAACGTATTGCCTGCCAATGCCATGCATGTAAAATAATTCAATATCAACATCGCACTCGTTGTGGGGCCAATAATTCAAGAAATATCTGTTGTATAAAATTGAGATTGCATTTGTTGATTACTTGTGATGTTTCAAAGACGGGGTATTAATATCAAGAAAAATTGTAGAGCAATTAAATGAATATATCCAAAAAAATAGCACGTCTTCGGCGTGAAAATACAATGTACATTGGAAAAAGTTTCAACCATAAATTAGGAAGTGCGCCCTCTTCAGGCTACGCATGGCCAGCCATGCATGTAAAATATTTATCAACAACCGCACTCGTTGTGGGGCAAATAACTCAAGAAATATGTGCATGTCTTCGGCGTGAAATTATGTACATGTTCATTTCGCTCCGGCGTACCCCCCGCCCTGCAAACAGGACGCTGGGATACTCTGATGAGCTTCACAGAATCTTGTGAAGGAAGTGGCCTATGACCTAGGTATAAAGCATCTGGCTGCAGCTGTTCAAGACTGCAGTTAGACAATGTGCGCAAATGCTATCCGAAAACTTCCCGTAGAATTGCGCACATTCCATACCGGATGTGATTCTGTGTCATTGCGGAACATGTGGACACAATTTTGAGCGTCGCATAATGTAATCCGACCGTTCGTGATTCGAAACGGAGCCTGAGCGAGTGACAGGAATTGTAAATTAACAAAACAGATAAATATTACAGAATTTCCTACATTATTACGCTTTTCAACGAGAAAAAACCATCTCTAAACTGGAATAAAAGAGTAATGAATCAGTCTTTAAACAGCCGTTTCAAACCTTGCAGAGTCATGACCTTGATCACGCGCAGGTCACTGGTCACGCAAAATCCAACCAATCAGAGCGTGAATTCGTCCTGTTTGCAGGGCGGGGGGTACGAGCGAACATGTTCATCTGAAAAAATTAGGCCAAAATCGGGCAAGGACCATCAGTCGACTAGTGGTTGATTTGTGACGTACCTTACGCCTGCGCACTGATAGCAACGTGCGAACGTCTCTAGTCAAACGCTGGTCAAAATGTCATCGCAAAACTTCTGGATCCTGGCTCTCTGCTAGCTTTATGAATGCGCGCGGCTATTGGTTACCAGCGAAGCAACCAACCCCAGTAGGCTGGTTCCAAATAGTCAACTAGCGTAGTCAACCACCGTTGACTAGACACAGTTCGGGCAAACGTTAGTTAACCATTGGTCAACTATAGTCCTTGCGCGAACTTGCCCTATAGTCCTTGCGCGAACTTGGCCTTAAGTTGCAACCATTGATCTCCATATACACAGTCTGTGTATATGGAGATCAATGGTTGCAACCATTGATCTCCATATACACAGACTGGATAGGACATCGCGTACGAACGTGCGTCCGCGCGCGCGTTTTTTGAAAAGGGTAAAGAACACAAATTCGCATTTGAATTGTGTACACTTTCGAACGGAGGATTCAAAAATGAAGTTGGCTTTTCTTCGGTTTCTTTGTCATTTTTGAAAGAATAAAAGAAACAGAGATCTAAATTGATCAAAATCGACGAGTAGTACAGTCAAGGTGTGCGCAGCATTAGATTGCTGGAGTCGGGAAGTAAGGAGCGTTGAAGAATAGGACAATTATTCGCAAGTAAGTTGTTTTTTTAACGAGGCCTATACAACATGGCATGGAGGAATATGAACATGGGAACGACAAAGCAAATTATAATATCGTTAATGTCGCTGTGAGTTTGAGGGGATGGAGGCCTGTGTGGTAGCTATAGCGAGATATTCTGTTTAAATTCCATAAGTCTAGGCCTGTCAGTGTCATGCTGGTCGGCATCATTTTTCTTTAAAAGACATAGGCCTAAACGTGCATGACTGACCCGGCAATGGCAATGGCAATGAACAAAAGTTGACTTGTTTAAAATAGTTTATTCAAATAACTTTTATAACTTTTATATGCAAAATCTGATTGAATTATGTCTGCCTTAAACGCCTACCGAAATGTTTCTATTCTTTATAAAGAGAAACCGAGGAGGTGGTTTATGCTAAATTACTGCACAACCGGCCGATTGACCTTCATATCAAACAAAGAACTTCAGCAAAGCCATAGCAAAAACTACCAGCTGCAGGACGATTTCCGAGACGGACGAAAATGGAGAACTTCACGGAGGGATGGAATCGAATACCGTATATCATCCACTGAATGGAACATGCGATGTGATGGGCATCTGAGAGTTTGACTTAATCTATTCTTTATGTAAACCTGTTAAGATTGATTGATTTTTCTTTTTGGAAAGAAGCTGTGGGGTTAAACGCAAGTATTTTTGTGAGCTCCAAGATGACTGACACATTTATATTGACAGTTTGTATGGTGAAGAAAGCAATGAGTACTTTTACGGTTTGAAATTATATTGTGTACGCCGTTATATAAGATTATTAGTTATAGCCATTAATACACCGTCATATTCGCTCACAAAAACGATTCCCATTATACTTACAAGTAATTATATTTATTTTCAGAAGTATAGCTAAACATTTAATTATAAAACAAGACCGTGCATAGCTTGAATTATTCTTTGACAAAAATATAATTTTGCTTTGTGATTCATCTCCTTTCACACAATATCACAAGAGGTGAACGATGTCATTCCCTGATCAATCTAGGGACGGGAAGAAGTTTTTACTGATTACTTTGTAAAATTAAGGTTTTTCCTTACCTTTTAGATTCTAATTGGTTTATGTTCGGGTTTTTAATAAATATATCAATCATTTGAATGAATATCCATACAATTTCTCGTGTGAGTGTTCAGTTAAAAAATATGATGTCATTTCAGCATATTATTAATACAATTATTCATTTCATTGATGGAGTAATTCAGTGTGCTCTAATGACCAATGTGCCAAAAATGAAATGGCAATTTACTTACAATCATTTTTGGGAGGAGGAGGGATTTAAAAAAAAAAGGAAATGGGGGTTCTTGAATTTCGAAAATGCATAATAAAGTGTATATCAAGAAAGTGTGGAAAAGCTGTTTGGAGGGATTGAGGGTAACTCTTCATCGTTCAGTTAGTTTAAGATTGGTTTTGGAGGAGCGCTTGATTTCCCTCCTGTAACTTGTAAGAAAAATGTCGCTCGATAATCAATTTTCCAAAGTAAACAAAGTGAAAGCACAATGCGCGTTTACCCGTCTGACAGTAAACGCGCCGCCATTGTTCGGCCGCGCATTCGTGCACAAAAAACGGCGCGATGTCCTATCCAGTCTGTGTATATGGAGATCAATGGTTGCAACCATAAATTTGGAAGTGCGCCCTCTACAGGCCACGTATGGCCAGTTATGCATGTAAAATAATTATCAACATTGCATTCGTTGTGGGGCCAATATCTCAAGAAATATCTGTTTTATAAAATTGAGATTTCATTTGTGTAGTGTTTGTGGTGTTTCAAAGACAATGCATTAATATCAAGAAAAATTGTTGAGCAATTAAAAGAATGTATCCAAAACAATATCGTGCCTTTAGCGCGAAATTACAATTATTGCAACACAAAACACGCTCGTTGTGGGACAAATAACTCAAGAAATATCTGTTGTATGGAATTAAAATTTCGTCTGTTGATTGCTTGAGATATTTTAAAGACAACGTATGAATATCGAGAAATAATATCAAGCAATTAAATTAATATATTCAAAACAATAGTGTGCATGTCTTCGGCGAGAATTTATGTACATGTTCATCTGAAAAAAGTTGCAACCATAAATTTGGAAGTGCCCCCTCTACATGCCACGTAAGGCCAGCTGCTATGCATGTAAAATAATTATCAACATTGCATTCGCTGTGGGGCCAATATCTCAAGAAATATCTGTTTTATAAAACTGAGATTTAGCGCGAAATTACAATTATTGCAACACAAAACACGCTCGTTGTGGGACAAATAACTCAAGAAATATCTCAGTGTTGTATGGAATTAAAATTTCGTCTGTCGATTGCTTGAGATATTTTAAAGACAACGTATGAATATCGAGAAATAATATCAAGCAATTAAATTAATATATTCAAAACAATAGCGTGCTTGTCTTCGGCGAGAATTTATCTGCATGTTCATCTGAAAAAAGTTGCAACCATAAAATTGAAGTGCGCCGTCTACATGCCACGTTTGGCCAGCCATGCTTGTTAAGATGATCAACATTGCATTCGTTGTGGGGGCATAACTCAAGAAATATCTGTTGTATAAAATTGAGATTTCTTTTGTTTAGTGCTTGTGATGTTTTAAAGACGAAGCATTAATATCAAGGGAAATTGTCAAGGAATTAAATGAATATATCCAAAACAATGGCATGCCGTGAAATATCGGTTGTATGAAAGTGAACTTTCCGCGGTCTGCTGTGAAGTTTAAAGGACGTATCTTGCAATTTTAACCCCAGCGCCGCCGTACCACAACATCACCGTTAATTTCGTACAGCGCCCTCTTTTGACAGGTTGTCAAAATACCATAGTGATGGTTTACGCGTCCACTCCACTCAATCCAAGGAAAGACGCATTTCAAGAAATGTGATCGAATTTAATGTTTAATACCAAAGGTAAAAGGTTATCTGGTTATTTCTTCTTATCATATTTAACAGTAAAAATGTTATCGATGGATTTGATGTGATTTTAAGGTTATTTAATTTAGGTGTCGGAAATAGGAACTTTAGCTTGAGGTTGTACGTAGTAGGCCCTAATCAGAGTCGCACTGCCACTGTTCGTGTTACTTTTTTTTACTTTGGCCATGTTGGCCGGCAGTGGATATTTAGCCGGCGGCAGGTTTCTTTTAGCAAACGATATTTAGTTGGCAGGGCACTGAACATGCGCAGTGACTGTTTTTTGGGTACTTGAACTACTTCAAAATGTTTACCGTGACAAATAAAAATAATACTAGTCTGCAGGTTAACTCTGGTTCCACGCCAACTTTGTCGTTGCGACTTTGTGTTCCACGAGATGGGAACCCGACCATTAAAATTGCAGACTTTTATTTCCCTTAAAAAAAATCAAGCAGAGCCATGAATCAAAAAAAGAAAAGAAATTGTAGGCCTTTAGGGCCTACTCTGCAATTAAATGTAGGAGTGTATTAAAAATAATTGATATGCGTGATAAGACTTAAGAGAAGAATAGTCTATTGGCGATAAAAAAAAATAAAAACACCAAAATGTTGAATGAGCGTGACAGTTGAGTGGTTTCGAACCCGGAATCTTTCACATATCGGCAGGCCATCCATTCTTCCACATGTGCTGCTCGAACCATGGTGGTAATTTAATACCTTTATAATGTAGGCCTACTCGGCTACTTGTCAAAGAGGGCGCTATAACATGTATCCACTATCTTTGACTTTTACTATTTTAGAAAATGGCGCATATGTTGGGAGGTGAGTATTGCATTGAGAGTCTGCAGAGTGATGTTCGCGATCTCCAGTCAGCGGTCGTCGATGTGACGTCCAGAGCTGGCCCGGTTCGATACCCATCATGGAAGTTTCCTGACAAGGTGGAAAAAAATGATAGATAAAATAACATTTTCATTTGCCATGTTTAAGTTCACTTTATTCATCCATATTTTTATAAATCACATAAATTTTATTTTTAGTTTACTCAGTTTGGTTTTAAAATTTACAGAATGTATGCCTTTGAAAAGGAAATAAGAAATGACGTAATGAACATCTAAAAAAACAAAACCAACAACCATTAGCAATTTTTTTTAAAAAACCTGTCTAACACTTGGACGCTTACAAAACTAGGCCTACTTGAGTTCATGCAATCCCTCGAAAGTTTTTTTTTACAAATTTGTTGGTACATGTATTAATTAAGTAAATAAGATAAAAAAAATAAATGACGATCTTGCAGAGCTTTTTGTACCAATCAAATTCCATTTCTTACAATTCCAGTTTTCACTTTTCTTGTCTATTTATGACATTTCAGATCTCCAGTGACCTTGACATTCCGTCTCTGCTGGAGGAGCACAGTTTCTCAGATGACATGGAGGACAATCAAATTGCCCATATCATCCTCTTTGAGCTTGTGATTGACAGGTCAGTCAGGTCACATGACAAGCCATATGACAAGTCATACGACAAGTCATATGACAAGCCATGTGACAAGCCAAGCTCGCCAGCCCTATGTTGGCTGTCTCCCACCGTAAAAAGGCTTCAGTTTGGGTTTTTTTTAATTCTCCTTTTCCTGTCCAGGATGATGCTCTTACTTCAAGGCTTCACCCGTTTTGTTGAGATGTTACTGTCTGGATCCCAAGGTCGTCCCCCGACCGCAGGTCATGTGGTCGGTTCCCAAATGTCCATCGGTTTAGTCGTCAAGAAGTTCTGGAACAAAATGGTCCAGCTGAACAACCTGTGCCAACAACTCCAAACTGAGGTAAAAATGGGTTTAAGAAAAACAGACTATACAAACTTGCCAAAATGTAACCTTTTAGGGGAAAATTGTCCTGGATTAACATTGTTGCCATACCTGTATTTACTGGTAAACATGCCTGTAAGTCTTGTGTTCTTTAGCAAGACACTTTGCCTCAATTGCTTAACAAGCTTTACAGAAGATGCGTACTTTTTCAGGCAGTTTTCTAAAACAAAGTTACTGAATAAGAAGAAGCTTTAACCCTAACGATCCCCAACCAGCCAACCTCTGTTAGGATGAGTAAACTGCACTAGTATTACTGACTGTGCTTTACATGGGATTAGGCATACCACAAAACAGAGTCTAACTATTTATGTGCACAGTTTACCATATGGTGTTGGGATTTGCAAGGATGAGGAAGGTTCCTAGTAAATCATCCTAGGGAGTTTGGGTTAATAATGTCTTTATTTCCCCATAGAATACAGCCAAAGGAAAAACTGTCAACAAATTGGAAGCCATCAACACGGAACTTCAGCTCCAAACGCTAGAAACTACCAAGAAATTAAACCTAAACAGCACGGGCGACTCTCTGAATCCCTCTGCGAAGACTGCAAACTCTCCTCTGTCAAAGTCACTCAGTCCAGGATACGGTGGTTTGTTGCCTCCTAACTCCAGTCAGGTTCAGTCGTCTGTGTCGCTTAACTCCAATGATTCCCACAATGCAATAGCCAGGGATACCAGAACAATTGCATCCCAGACTTTGGAGACTGCGTTCGTGCCTTGCGAAGCCTGTGCATGCATCCAGCTGAGCTTAAAACAAGTGGCGGATTTGATTACTGAGATCTGTGACTCGCAAGGGCTCACGTCGGCCATCGCAAAACACCGGCTTCAAGAAATCGATGCCACTATGACGGCAGCAGACGTGACCCGGTGGTCCACCCAGCAAGCTAAAGATCTCAGTCAAATCAAGCAGTGTCTCCAAGATCTCTTGAATCAAATCGACCCGCTAACTTCGGATCTCACGGCATCCAAATCGGAATGTTCAGAACTGAAGAAAGGCATCAGCGACAAATCCTTAGAACTCAAAAAGGAAAAAGATGCTCGCGAGGCGCAGCGGAGACAGCACCAGGCCAAACTCAAGGAAGTTGAGAGGCAGCACGCCGAGTCTATCCTCGTGGTCCATCAGAGATTGGAAGACATCAAGAAGGGAAAGAAACAAGACGAAGAAGAACTGTCGGCTCTGAAACGTGAACTCCAAAAACAGTGCGAGGCTAGACAAGTTTTAGGTAAAAGTTTAGTGTAGCTGTTGTGACTTTATTTTTTTTTCTTGGCACATAAATTCTAAACTGTATTTTATGCCTACTAGCTCCTTAAAATCGAGACAAGCTTATCCCATTCAAAAGCACATCCCCCCCCCCCCCAAAAAAACTACATAGTGACACGAAAGAGGTTAAACTCATTTTTGTTTTGTAGAGGACATCAATAACAGACTGACGCTTGAGGCAGAGGGGAACACGTCCAACCGAGCGACAGTGCTAAGACTCGAGAGCCAATTGGAAGAGCTGAGTAGGCAGCTGCAGATTACCAGTGAAGAATTGCAGGGTACCAGCAAGCAGCTCGGCAAGGAACAGGCACGAAACAGAAGCATCGACAAGCATGGGCAGGTATAAAGCATTTTGGAGTATGTCGCACTACTTTCGATGCCTCACAAGTACATCTCAAGTCCAGTCACATTCCCATTCTAAAGTAACTGGATGAACAGTAACGAACAAATACCGTTGTCACAGTTCATTAAAAAAGCATGTGACATGACTTTGGACTGAATAACTTGTGATGATTTGTGATTGACTTGCAACTGACTTGTGATCGTCTTGTGATTGACTTGCAATCGTCTTGTGATTGACTTGCGATTGACTTGTGATGGACTTGTGATTGACTTGTGATTGACTTGTGATTGACTTGTGATTGACTTGCGATTCACTTGTGATGGACTTGCGATTGACTTTTGATGACTTTTGACCCTTCACAAGAGCTTCAACACTAAATAAGTGTGACACTATTTGCTTTCCCACAGTTGTTTATTTGTCCTCAAGAAATGGCAACAGCATCTGAAACAAACAGGATACAAAATATTAACAACAGATAAACGTTAATCAACAAATGGTAAGTCATAGTTCTCTAAATATCTCTTGATTTTTTAATTTCTCTAATTTCTTAAAGCTCATTGTTTTATTTACTTACAGTCAATGCAAAACAAGCACGATGCCTTGTCAAGGCGAGTGGACGAGCTGGACCAAGAGTGCAATGACCTGCGAGATTCCCTAGCTGACGCTGAGGAGGCGCAGGAACAGTTGATGGAACAGCTAAAAGACATGCAGAGGGAGGTGAAGGAATTAAAGGAAGAGCTGCAGAAAGAAAAGGTGAACACTGTCATGATTATTTTGTGTGTGTATTTTTCTTAAATGAAACCATAATTGTAAGTATTCAATAGGTTCAGCATAACAATATTTCCTCTCTTATTGTATTGATTTCCTTTTCTTTCGTTATTTCCTTTCCGTATTTTCTTTCATTCCCTCTTATTATTTCTTTCCCCACAGACGTTGGTTTCCTCGGTCCGAGAGGAGAAACAGTTTCTTGAGAGTTCCATCGTGGACCTTCAGACGATGATCGTAACTTTGGAGGGACAGCTTAATGACGCGCATGGAAGGGAGAGAATGCTGGTCCAGTATCCAGACATGAACCCCGGCATAGTGCCTCAGGGTCCTGCACCCACAGGTGATTGATTTGTGATTGATTTGCGATGAACTTGCGATTGACTTGTGATTCACTTGAAATTTGCCTTGGGATTGACTTTAAATGATTGATTTGTGATTGTGACTTGAAACTTGGGATAATGAGCGACTCAAAGTGGCATGTATAGATTTGTGATTGACATGTGATGTGACTGACTAAATATGAATTGCCTCTGGTTGATTTATGACTGACTAATGATTGACATGCGATTGAGTAGTGATTGATTTATGATTCACTTGAAATTTGTCTTGTGATTGACTTGTGATAGACTCGTTAATTGATCTGTGACTGACTTATTATTGATTTGCGATTGACTTGTTTTTGACTTGTGATTGACTTTCTGATTGATTTATGATTGACTCGCAATCGACTTGTGATTGAATCATAATTGATCTGTTATAGATTTACTTCTGATTGACTTGTGACTGACTTATGATTGACTTGTGGCTGAATTATGATTGGCTTGTGCTTGACTTGTGATTGTCTTGTTATGACTTAAGGTGACGGGGACAACCCTTCCGACATGAAGCAACAGGTGCAGTCCAACAACATCCGCATCCAGATCCTAGAGGAGCAGAACAACCTGCTACGCAAGAACATCTCCAAGCTGCTTGCTGAACAAGACAGTCAACAGCAGGGTGCTCAGGTAAAATAAAAAAGTTTACAAAATTCCATATTTTGTCTGACAAATATATTAATCAATTCTGAATACAATTTTTATTTCTAGGAAGTTAAAAAATAATGGAATATAAATGATTTGGTTAATAGGTATCAGGCCCTGCCATTCCGTTGTGGCAGTCATCGGGAGCGCTTTCAAGAAATCATGATGACAACTCAAGAAACAAGATGCCCGCAGCGCAACCAAAGCAGGATCATCATCAACATCTCTATGCATACAAGTAAGAATATATCCTCCTCATCCCCCTCTGAATAGTTTGGGGGGGGGGGGGAGTATACGTAATATGTCCATCTCTGGTAGTTTGTACACTTAGGGATTCTGTAGTTGTGACAGAGTGCAAATTCTCTTTTCATGATTCTGCCAAAAATTGAGAATTTTTTTTTTTTTATTAAAGGTAAACAAATAACAGAAATTGGAAACATATACAAATGGTTCTGAAACAATGATGAATACATATTTTTAATCATTTTATGTTTTAGACAAAAGAAAATACTTTGTTTGTGTGAAATTTGGACTCTATGATATACGGACTCATTGGTGGTATTGTGTGTACCACAGTGGACAGAATTCGAACAGTGAGGAATCACACGTTAATCTAGGAGTCCGTAATAAGGTCAAAGACCACACTTCATGAGAGTCCACATTTCATATAACATGAGCTTTAACTTCCCCTATTTTAATAAACTTTTCTTCAGGAGCCCCTCATTTAATCCAGAAGGTCAAACAGTGACGAATCTCTCGCCAGAAAACCAACCTATCAGGAAGGCAGTTAGCGCTGAATATCATTCTAGGAGACGCAGTCCACGGGGGGAAGTACCTGCTAGCTATGGCGTCCAGAAAACAACCACGACACCGAAACCACCGCAGAAAGATGGAAAAACAAAACAAGGTTTGTGATTAGTGAGCAGATAATTGTCGTCGTCCTGTCTAAAACAAAAAGAAAAGTAGGAAAAAAATTGGAAAAGCAGAGGAAATTGCATGAAATCTGGGGCCACTGGGTTGAGAGATTTAGCTCAAGGAATAGTTATCTATCAAAACGTGTACAATTCGAAAATAGATAGCACATTTGGCTCTTTTCTGCCTTAAAATTCTTGGCAACATTCCCAACCCAAGTCCTCAATTTTCCATTTGAGAAAGAGAAATTAATGTCAAAATTCCGGTCATCTGGATTTTCAGAGAGTCACAAATCCTTTAAGATTTTTTCCTAAATGTTTTTTATCTTTGTATCAGTGAACTGTATTGGACAAAAAAAATGTGCATTTGGGAATGTTTGGAAAATGCCTTAAAAGATTCTTTAATTTTACAGTATTTCAAGAGAACTTTTATAGCTTTATAAAAAAAGTTATGTGCTTAAAAATCGTCTCATTTTGAGGCAAATTATAACAAAATCAGTAGTATTTTTCACCAACCCTTACACTTCAGGCAAACATAAATGAAAACGGTTACTTGTTTTTGCAGGAGGAAAGCGAACCAGTAGCAGCGGAAGCGTCAACGTAGCCAAGTTAGCCTCTGCTGGAGGAGGGAACACAAGTCTTCATGCATACATGAAGCTAAAGCAGAGTGGCGCAATAACACCTGGAGAGAAGAATACAGGCAGAGCTGCTGAAAGTAAGCAAATTATAAACCACATTGTTTTCTCAAATTTGGCTTGAATGATGAGGCAACATTCTGTAACTATTTGTCATTCAAATTGAAATTGAATTCTCATCTAGGAAGCCATTCTATTTTTCCATTTTCACAGACAAAGCACCGACCAATAGCAGGCCTCCTCTCAAAAGCAGACAAGGCTGGGTCCACAGTGAATACAACAAGGGCTCCCATAGGTCCAAGGAGCATTACAGTCCCCTGGACACGTTTGTGTGTCCCTCCTGTGATAAGATGTACACATCGGAACAAGACCTCGAGATCCACCAATCCTACTGCTATGGATAGAGATGTGCAGCTACTACTAAGCACATAAATACTTGCATAGTAAATTGAGTTTACTAACCAAAATGTCATGTGATGGGTATTGCTTAAGCCCGTGTCCCTGCAGATTTTAGCTTAGTTGTAAATTTCTCAGCAAATTTCTGCTATAGTTCCCCGAAATTCACCTTCAGACTAGCCAAATTACATTTTCAAAGTTGTTTTTGTAAGTATAATTATTTTTTATAAAAAGATGTGTAGCGCCATCATCGTAATGTTTGGGAGAAAATAATTCATAGATTTTTCCAGTATTGAAAATTAAATTTATAATTTTCAGAGATTTCCATGAGTCTCAACACAGAAATTGTTGTATCCGAAATAGTTGCAAACCTACACAAGTTTCTGCTCCAAAGTATTTTATTACATACTGGAGGAATCTTTTGAAATTTCCTTCAGTTAATATATTCATTTTGTGCTTGTTTATTTTGTCATTTTCAATTCAGCTTTGCTTAAAAGTTATTTATAAATATGATAAATTGATGATATATTATAAATTGATATTATTATAATTTATAAACATATGCACGTTTTAAATGAAATAAGTTCTTCAGCATACTGTATCTTCCGATATTTCCGTCCAATTTTCCTTTTAAAAGGAACCTGAATAATTGTGTGATTTTTTTCCTCGCCTTCCACCGCTGTGACCTGGGTTCGAATCCTGCCTGGGCCAATGTACGGATTGGGTTTTCAGTCCCTACCTAATTTCGTGGGTTTTCCCTAGAACATCATTCTGGGCTCCCCCCCCCCCCCTCTAAAACTGTAATTTCTTCTCATTGTCTTCTCTCTAGAGATTTCTTCAGGCTTGCAAACTACAGTGCCTAGGGTGCTTTTGAGGATCCCTTGGTTTCATTACCAGAAATGATTAATAACAATAATAATACATGTTAGAATAATAATAATTGGAGCGATATAAATGCATGTACTTCCAGTTAGAAATGTACTTGAATAATTCTCCTTTGTGCCTTTCAACAGCCCTTTTGGATGTAAAGCTCTCTGTTTGAATGATAGTATTTTCATTGTAAATGCTAAAGTTATTCACTGGTCGTGTGAACATTAAAACAGAAATTCATCGAGAGAAATGAGTTGCTCATATTATTATTATTATTATTATTTTTTAGAGTAGTCCTGATAACTTATAGAAAGGGGGGGGGGTTCACATACAAACATCAATACATTTGTACAATTTCTTCTAAACCTCCCATTTTTTTTTATCCTACCTTTAAATAGTCCAGTTCCATACTTTCTCCAAGTTTGACAACCGGCGCATAAAAAAACGGTAGGTATTTTTTTTGGGTTATTTTATAATTACAGTACATGTACTTTTAAAGAAAATGCAACTTTCTTACCTTTTTGCACTCATCACATTCAGAGTCGTGCGTCTTGAAGAAGTTTTCACCATAATTATGTCTTGTCGCTATACCCCACAATTTCCCTCAAAAAATCAAACCCTGCCCTCTTTCCACATAATTAAGCTTGCTGATATTCAACATGATATTTTGGTAAGCTATTTTGACCATTCCAAACACATAAAGTGACTTTTCCTGCTTTAATCATCGCCAAATGTTTAGGTAAGTCTCAAAACATAAAAGTGTCTTTTTCCGTTCACCACTACAGAATTAAACCACATCAAAGGAACCCACATGCCACCAATATTTTTTTTATCAGAAAATGTTCTGATTGGTGCATACTTTTTCCAATCTTTTATTATGCAAATTACCACAGCCTGGTACCCGGCCAGCGACTCGACCATTTCTGTGCATATCGCGTATCTCGGGCGCGCGTATATCGGGAAACAGCGAAAGAAATTTGCAGACGATTCAATACAAAGCTGTACATCAGCGCTGCAATAAAATCCGTTGAAAATGATGTTTTTTGGAGATCTCAGTTACTACTTCAGTACCTACCATATTCTGAATGGTTTGCTGTCGGTATCGTTTTTGATTCTGAAGCTATTCAGTCCATTTTGTGATACGCTTTTTGCAAATGCAGCGAAGCCCTGCGGATTGGACTGGGTGAGTTAGGATAATTTGTCACATCCGCTTACCGATAGTCGTCTATTTCCGACACACTACCCGCATCACATTTAGGCAGTGGCTATTTAGCCGGCGCCGGCTTTCTTTTAGTAAACGATATGGAAAAAATGTTGCAACCTGACGCCACGTTTGTTTTCATATATCAATTATCATCTCAATGAAATTGAAGGTCATTCTTTGCAAAAATGATGATGACATGAATCTGGGACTGAGAAAAAATTCCAATTTTGTTAGGAAATAGGCCTAGGGCCTATGCCTACTTAGGCCTTAAGTTAAACTTTAAGTTAAAGTTAAATTTTCTTGACTCTCCATAGACTTTGTACACAATTGTGGAAGTGGCGTCAGGTTGCAACATTTTTTCCATGTTATGAGAATATTGTGAATCAGACCACTTTTTTTTTACAATTTCGGACATTATTTCCCTTAAAAGAAAATCATCCAGAGCCACAAATAAGAAAAATAAAGTGTCTCGGCCTAGTACTAGAGCTGTAATTAAATGTTATTAAAACTTAAATCTAGTTAAATTTGTAGTGGGTGCTGAAATCAATGACAGCTTTGTTAGTTTGTTGTCTTTAGAATGAAACCAACATCATGTTTTTCCTGGGATGCATTCTGGTTGTCAAGAACCGGAAACTGCCGGCATTTCGAGAGTACCTGGGAAAGATCTTCATGTTTAGCAAAGTGGCCAATGCTGTGCTCTTCTTCTACGGTGACTTCAGATATGCAATTCTCTACGTCGTTTTGGTATTAGGTGAGTTGCTAATTGTGTTCTTAGGCAAGACACTTTACTACAATTGCCTGTCTCACCCAGGATGCAACTAGCTGGAGCAGGGGATGCTGGACGATGGTGCTTCACTGCGTCAAGTTCCACTACATAGACACCTTTACTGTTGGAATCCCTTCAGTCTCCTAATGACAGACAGAGTGTAGTGTCCGAAACGTTGATTTCCCCCAGTTCTTTCAGAACCTTTATTATTACAACCCCCAAAAGAGATTTGTCACATGGTGCTACCGTTAATCTTTATCTGATTGAAAGTAATGAAAGAAATGAATAAATTTCATTTTCCCCTGCCTTGCGCAGTTGTGCTGATTGTCTTTCCAGAACCAATCTACTGCGGCCGTCAAGATGTCACATACTTCAACAGCAATACACTGGAAGTGAGTATAAAACCTGATTCATCAGTTCCAAATATTGTCTTGAAAAAAAAACCCAACCAATTGCTATGAACTTCATTCCAATCTATCATACATAACCCGCATTTAGAGATGCAGTACAAATTGTGAGTTTAGCTTGTAACTTATTTCCTTCCTTCGATCTCAAGGTTGATAACAATTTGTCATCTTGCCTGTTTACTTATTGTAGGAGGAGTTAACCTCCAACCCAAGAGTAACATGGCTCATTGAGTTTTACACACCCTGGTCTACTAGTTGCCAGACATTTGCAAGGGTCTTTGCAGACCTCTCACTAAGGTAAGATTTTTCAAGTCTATTTTGGGCATAAAGAAACTCAGTCACTGCACAAATGGACACACAAAGGGCAAAATGTATTAGAGCTCAGCAGTGTGACAATTTTAACAAATATAACTGGACTAATTTAAAAGAGTATTTTGTTTTTCGTTTTTCAGCTACTCTCACAACCACCTGAGGTTTGGTAAAATTGACGTGGGCAGATATGTAGACGTAGCCAAAAAGTAAGTTACCGTTTTCTCTAAAGGCAAAACTCAACATGTGGTTTTTGTAGCAATTTGATGGATTGAAGATTGTTCAGCTATTAAAGTCACCATCACTTTACACAGGATGTTACACTAACCTTATTCATCCTAAATCCTCCAAAATGACAACTGATTTTAAAGGATTTTGAAGGTTTGAGGGCTGTTGGGCTCAAACACCATTGCTTTACATGGGTTTTGGGCAACTTTGTTATGTGTGAAGAATACAGCATGGGTTTTATACTGTAATGGGTTTTGGAGGATTCAGGAAGATTTATTCGTCAGGGGATAAGGTTAAGCTTTTGTTGTGGATACTATACAATCAAACCCTTTTACTTTTGCGACTCGTCTAATCATGAATTTCTCACTATTGATCAGTTCAGCATGCCCAACACATATCTCCTGAATTCTATTCCAACAGGTACAAGATCGACGTGTCCTCACTATCCCAGCAGCTGCCAACCCTGGTGCTATTTGAAGGAGGGAAGGAGACGATACGAAAACCAGGCAGAAACAGCAAAGGAGCGATCGTCAGACATCATTTCACTAAGGTGGGTAATGAGGCAATTACGAGAATCTGACTCGATGCATTTTACATGTAATAGCCTTTTATTATAACAAAGAGTTGAACAAAGAAATTGACTGTAGCGGGATTTGAACCTGTGACATCTGAAAAGTACAAAGCCTGTTGAAGTTTAAAGGTGTACCTTCATTAGAAAGTGAAATCTTCACCTTTTCTTTGAAATCCAACATTACTTGTTGCCCGATACAGGAGAACATTACCAGCGAATATAACTTGAAGACACTTTATCAGACGACGAAGAGCAAAGCACAGAAGAAGGCAGAAAAGGCAGATGTGGCAAGCGACAAAAAGACCAATTGAAAATTCCCACGACGGTTGAATGAAGTCAGAAGTTGTCTACTTTAAAATCACCCTTGTTGTACGACACCGTATGGAAAATGTGAATTTGTGAAGGGAAATTTCTATTGTACACCAAAAAAGCTTAAGAAACTTTTACAGTTTTGCCATAGTTGCTTCCCCTTTTGGAAATTAAATTTTGTATTTTATTTAGAAAATTTATAGAAAATGAAGTACATACAAAAGAAACAACAAAATCCAGAGATAATTCTACTGTCCATTCTACTGTTATGGTGTTATTTAATGTGAATGATATTGAATTTGCACTTGTCATGTTTCTTTTAATGTTCATAGTAATCTGTGTCATGCCTTCTAGAAACATGACCAGTCTATAACGGCAGTTTAAGATTAGAAAAGTAATATGAACAATTTCAGACAATGCTTAATGTGCAAGTTAATCGAATAGAGGGACAGTATACAATTCTACAAATCTCTACATTTCATGTGATTCAGTGCAGAAGCTTTTTGTTGAAAAAAATACACTCTTTAGCTGATTTTAGTTTATATATGTACAAATGTAATTGATCGGTCTGATGTTTTACAATATAATTTACATTGAAAAAGTAATCAAATCAAGTTGATAAAATTAAAACGATACAGAATTATGTTATTGTGGTGCTGCACTTAACTATTGAAATGAAAGTGTTAAATAATTAACAAAAAATGAATGCAAGTGGTAGCCCTACCCTCATAATTGTACATTAAAAAGTTTTTAAGAAAGTTCCATCCTTTGAATGGCAAAATAGTGTTATCCAGTGAACACAGTGTCAAGAGTAACCAGTAGATTAACTTTTTTATTAGCTTTATAACTCCTTAGCATTTCCCAGTGCCCATTTGCAAAACTAACTTAGTTTTCCCTTTGGGATGAAATCAGTGATGTGGAATAGTTCAGATAACCTAGACAAAGTCAACAGTAAACAATTAAAATACAATGTACATCCAGTTGTATGCATTGTCTGTCATTCTAAGTTATTCCAAAAAAGCAGTGTTAACATTTTTTGTTAATAAAAATGTGAAAGAAATAAAATACACTATTCATGATCCATAGAGAAATATAGAATTTATCTTTCGGGCATCAAGTGAGAATGTTTTTTTATTTTTTTTTATACAATTTTGAATATGATTACGACTGAGCGTTTTTGTATATTTCCCCTAATCTGAAGTTCAAATAATCCAGTGCTGAGATGGGTGGATACTTGTTGCTCTTATCCACGCACTCGATGATGGCATCGTTGTCTGGGTAACCAAAGAAAGCAATGGACTGGCGTGACTTGTCTAGTTCCTCAGGCGTGTCATCCATGAACACACAGTGTCTCTGAAATATTGAAAGTGAAACAAAATCAACAGAACTAAGTCATTAAATCTGTTTCATTCAGTCTTGAATAGAGGCCAAGACTTGGACTATCACTAATCTTTCAGCACTTGTATTTAACACTTTGGATTAACTATACTTTAGTTTACAAGGGCAGTTGGGGGCAGTATATATGATCCATCCAATTTGGGCGTGCAATACTTACAGTGGCAGGATACAAGTCGGATGTCCATCGCTGCATCAGGCTACCAGTGTTAATCAGTATACCGCCCTCTACCATTGGAACCTTGATATAGCTGCCGTCAATCTTTTGCACCTGTGTTTGAGGAAAATCAGAATTTTGAGTTTGGCGAGCGTGCTAGTTGTTGCAGGGATGTGCGAAATGTGGCGTAGTATGTCATAGATTACATTCAGTCCGTTTTTTGCAAAGTAAGTCGCGACATTTACCTTTTCTTTGGTCCCAGGGGGGCCGATGAGATAAAAGAGGACACTAGCTAGTGTCCTCTTTACCAATATCTCACTGACAGTTGACTGAATGACTCGCTGAGTGTCACTTGTGAGCTGGGCAGTGCTATCTTATAGGATTACCCTGTTCACCAGATGCAAAGACTTCCAATGAATAGTCCTTCTGAATTGAACAGAATTTTCTTCGCTCTAGGAAGAACTTTACTAGGCTTAATTGCCTAATCATGATTACATGTTCTATATACTTATGACTGGCTAGTCCTGTAAGTCTTTGAATGCATCTGATGTACACAATGGCCTGGATTTAGCTGATGATGGGGTAAACCTGTATGATAGCACTGCCCGGTTCTCTTTCCAGCCAACTACCAACACAATTGACAATCCTTAGGTCAGTCAGTCACGAGCAAAGAGAACCACTGGATGGCCCTATAGTGGCCAGCAAAAACAGCTTTTCTTGACTGCGCGACAAAAATTGCAACACTCTTTAAGTCAATCTAAAGTGAACATACCAACAATCCAGGCTTTTGCTGGAACAGCAGCGTGATCCCGCCAAAGTCAGAGTGTTCCCCACACCGTACTTGTTGCTCCTTTACGGTGACGTCACAGAGTGACGGGTAGAACAATGTTCTCAGGCATATTGAACTGTCAGTTCTGGGCTTCTTGTGAGACTTGACAAAATGCAAGGGGTCCTTTTTGAAAGAAAGGTACTCGAAATGTTAGTAATATGTGTTGGACTCATCCTTCATAAATTGATTTTAATCTTTTTATCTCAGCACGCCTCTGAGTGATGTAAACACTAAAGAAGGAAGGTTTGCGGAAACACCATATGCGAATAATTTCTCAACTAAGAGAATAGTTCTGAAAAGAACCAGATGTATAAACTTGACGTTCCGGTCAGTATGCTCTGACCATCTCTCCAGAAGACGGTCAGAGCATACTGACCGGAACTTCGAGTTTATACCTCTGGTTCTTTTCAGAACCATTCTCTTAGTTGAGAAATTATTCGCACATGGTGTTTCTGCAAACCTTCCTTCTTTAGTATCTCCACCATGCAAAGCCTCAAATCTCACTGATGTAAACACACTTCAAAATTGTTCCAAAGGTATTTGTAAAGCAACCATCGTTTGTGCTTTTACTCTACTGTGAAAGGCACGAATAGACCCTTAAAAAAAAGTCAAGTCAGTTATAAAACTGTACAGCAAGCTTTTAACCATAAAACTAAAAGATGTCCAAGATCTCTATGGACAAAATGTCAGAAATTTTCAGTGATTGTTGAGTTTCGATTTCACCCTTAAGTATTTCATTCACAGATTTGCAGCATTTTTAGATTCATAGTGTTAGATAGACATATCAGAAACTTTCTTTTCAGTCCCCGAAACTGCTTTTTGGACATAGCATTCAATTTAGAAATTTTACACATTTTTACAGCTACCATCTAACACATTATAACAGAGATTTCCTGAACAAACTAACCCACCTCCAGTTTGAGTCCATGTCCCATGATCTCCAGGACTCTGTTGTGAAGAGGAAAGCACAAGTCGAAGAACTCGTTCATTGCAGCTTTGAAGCCCGGGCACTCGGCTTCTGTTGGCCATTGCTACAGAAAAGATAAGTCATGATCATATCTCTTTAAAAAAAAGTTGTCCACAACAGGCCCATCAGGTTTAGTTCAGGATTGTGAACAACTGGAATCTCTTGCAATGAAGTTATCAGCATGTTTATAAACTGATCACTTCTTTGTAGAAATGATTCAAGAAGTTAGTGTTCAGAATCCTGCAACTTCAGATACAAGGCCTATTGAGTATTGCATATAAACTGGTCTGCAACTTATCCAGGATCTTTTACAAGAACACTTCTAAAGGCAACAAAATTTGTCACTGAGTTGTGTTTCAGTGCACATTCAATTCCAAAGGAGAATGTTGGAAAATTTCTTTTCAATTTAGGAAACATTTTCTTGTTATCCACCCACTTAATGCGATTCCTAGCTCCGCCCCTATATACTCACATCGCCTGCTGTTTGAGGACTGAAGTTGAAATTTTCCTTGAGGTCACCGTATGGTCGATCTGGATTGACGCTGCAGTGAGAAATGCACAAGACTTAGCTTTAGAGGTCAAGAGGCCATGATCTTCGACCTATAGAAGTGAAAGGATCCTTTCAAATGTTTGCTTCGCATTAGTTTTACAGAAGTGGCTACCAAACTTCACCCGTGGCCAGATTGAGAATAATAAACTTTCACGTCCATGAGCAAGGTCATTTACCACAAGTTGTTCCCTCAATCAGGAAAACAATTGATATTCATAATCACATTTATTTCAATGTGAACATTGAGTAACCTGGACAGTTTTTAAATCCGTAGGCCTAAATGTATGCAGGCGTGCATCTGGGTAATCCAGTAATCTGTTTCAAGACAAATAAACTGATGCGGACACAAAAAGCCAGTTTTAATTTGTCACAAACATAGCAATTAATTGGAAGAATTCATTTATCAGACAATGATAGGGCACTTTACCATTCTCGGCCTACTTTAACGTAACCGTGGGCACCGGAAGTGCGTGGATGTCGAAGCTTCACATCGAGTGGCAGTTCAAAGTAATGCTTGGAAACTTGGTACAATTCCTCTGTCTGTTAAAGGGAAGATACAACATTTGCAAACATCAAAACACGAAATGATCAAATTATCACAAAAAATTAAACTGGATTGTTAGGGAATGACTGTATAAAGCATCCTGTAAAATCGTGGCTCCTGGCGTGCTGAAATTTTCAAGAAAACTTCTATTTTTCCAACGCTGGTCGGCCGACCAGCGTTGGAGAAAACTGGCTTTTCTTCAAAAACTGCTCCAAATTGTTCATATTTAGTTATTCTGCACTTTCTTTGCAATTGATTACACACTTGTGAATGGGTATGAGCCTGCTAGACAGATTCTTTGACCCTACGATTCCCCAAAGTCTACAAGTTGCTCCATTTCATCTTAAGTGGGGTCAGGGAACCAGACTACAAGAACATGGTTAGTTTTCTTGGATTTTCCAGCATATCTAAACCCAAATCGTGAAGCAAGTCAGTTTAGCAATATTTTCTGTAACACACTTATCCTCCAGATCCATTTATTTCTGAAAATTGCAGCAAAAGCAAATGTTGTACATTCCCTTTAACCCAACAAAAAAAATACCCCCCCCCCAAAAAATGAACAAATATTAGGCACTGAATTAGGTACCAGTGCACTAAACACATAACACAAATTGACTTTAAATATGAATTTCTGACCTTTTCTTGCGGGAAGTCAGTGTTGACGATGAAGAAGAAGCCAATGGTAGTCAGTGCGTTGTGTACATCATCAACTAGCTTCTGAAACTGACTGGCGTCGGGTTTCTCCAGAGACAAACGATAGGCGCTGAAGTCGACCATGGGAATTTCGCTGGAGGGTTCACCCATGATAATTTTTTTTCTTCTCAAATCAGTGGTTTCTGGAAAAAATAATATTTATGAACGTTTAGTTCCCAGATTTTTATCATGGTGGTGAATGCAGCTCTTTTCGTGGGGCAAAGACCAAAGTTTGGAAAAATGGGTTGGGTCATATAAGCCCCACCCACTACTCATTATATATTCAAATATAAGTCACACCCCTTATCTGCATTAATTAGCATGCTGATATCATTGGGTCAATCCGGTTCGTTTGTAAAAATGTCATACACGCGCGCGCACCACTGATTACCGCCCATTGGATAAAACGCTCAATATGCATTAACTTCCGGTTCCATTCATGCTATGCAACACCGTGTGAAGTATGCATGGTTGCATTGAATTGACGTCACATTAACAAACCGGACAGAAAGCCCTACCATTTACTGGCTGACAGGGTGGGGTCACATATAAGCCCCTCGCGTCCACTCTGCACAAATCAAAACACCCCCCCCCCCCCCCCCGATCAAAATAAGCTCTGCCCCTTTATCTACATTAAAGGGTGGGATCCAATATTCACTACAGCTGCATTATAAGCCACAACCATCAACCAAAATGATGGTCTACTTTCAAAAAAAATTCGCTCAAAACTCATATTTCTGTTTGATAATCGGAGTTGTTTTATTTTTCAAAACGTAACTGATTTATACTAAAATAAACATCCCGGTATTATTTCAGAGCTTTTAATTTTACGTATTTAAATTTTACAAAATGTATTAAAATATATGTACTGTCCATAAGTTTACATATTTGATTAAAATAAAAAGTAATGGAATAGTTCTTGATTCAAAGCAGAGGCTTTTGTATTTTATGAAAATTATGTTAATTCTAAAGTTTCAATTATCATTGGTATAAAATTATACATCACACATGTATGTTTGAATTGATATCATTATTCACAAATAAACGGTACAGTTATTCCTATTGGTTGAAAGCTTGTCATGTGAGTGGTCTTAAACTACCGTTTATACAATGTTTAACGCTGCTTAAGACTAGACTTTAGCTCAGGCCATTATCAACGATCAAACACATAACCAGTTTTAAACCACACATTTATAACTGCTGTCATGTCAGGGGTGGGGCTTATTAAAGCCCCCCCCCCCCCTTTCGGCATTCATACTGAGTGTATTTCATCTGAAAAATTCAAATTATCATCCCGTTTTATTCTCAGATGTCAGTATATCTCGCTGAATTTCAAGTTCGTATAATCCAAACAAGTGATGGGTGGGTACTTGTTGCTCTTATCAATGCACTCAATGACGGCATCGTTGTCCGGATGACCGAAGAATGCGATGGACTGACGTGATAGCTGTCGTTCTTCGGGCGTCTCGTCCAAGCGTACGCAGTGTTTCTGAAATACGAGCCAGAATGAAAATTCACTTCTGAGGATGTGTTTTAATTGAAGATTGCAAAATTAGCCTTCAGCGTTTCAGGACGGTATGCACAGTTTGTGGCACATGTTATAGTAGGGGTTCAAATTCACGCAACTATTTGCAGTCTATCAAATTACGATGTAAAGTGGTCAAAAGACTGCAAACAGCCATTACTTGACCTTGCTGACTAGTCTTGTTGACAGGATGGTTGATAATCCGTCCCTGCGGTGAGGCTGGCTATATTGACTGACTATAAGGATTTTATTACACAAACGTGGTTCTTGTCAGAGGGCTGCTGTTTGGCTAGGATCTTCAGAATCAATAATTCAACTCTGCTTAAAGGGGTCTCACCACTTTATTTGGCTACGTTTGAATGAAGTACTTGTGAAATATTGAGTAATTGAAAAAAAATTAAAATAGTTGTCCTTCATGAATTGATGAAATCACATATCCATTTTACTTACAGCAGCAATGTAAACGTCTGCCGTCCATCGCTGCAAAGTGTCCCCAATGTTGACGAGAATAGCGCCCTCTATCATGGGCACGCTGACGTAGGTCCCGTCACGTTTGCAAACCTGAAAAAGAGGAAGATGTCTCGTAATGACGACCCTCACTAATGCCCAGACAACTTGTTAGCAAAGCGGCCTTGAATATTTTGTCATTGTTTTATGAGCTGGAACAGTGACATTTAACCCTAAAGAATTAAAAGGTAAAAGTATTTCGCAAAGTCGTTACGAGCATAAGCGACCTGCCACTATGACAACAAATAGCCACAAATTTAATTATCTCATTTTGAAATGTCCTTGTGTTAATTTCAAAATTATACACCATGTCATCTGTGACGCTCGGCAAACAGGCAAATGACAGGTAAAACATATACCTGAGCACATTTCTCACGTTATTTTGCCTCCAATATCAGTTTACGTCATCATTCAAAAGATATACATCTAACTGCAGCGTATCACACGACTACAACATCAAAATTTATGAAGAGGTGCCGTTTTATGAAGCATGGTCTATATTTCAAAAAGTAATTACAATAACGAAATTCTTAAAAGCTGAATACCTGTAAACCCTTTCTTTGCTGGAAGAGTAACGTGATTCCTCCAAAATCGGAGTGTTCACCAAGTCGTACTTGTTGGTCTTTGACCGCGACATCATTCAGCGACGGGTAGAAGAGGCTGCGCAACGTCATCATACTGTTGGTTCTGGGCTTGGAATGTTGCTTCACGAAAAATAAGGGGTCCTGGTCAGAGAAAGAGGGGAAAAAAAGGAGTCAGGTTTCTTGAAGTTAATACACTGCCCTTTTTTTATTGTTGGGTCATAGCTGTTTTAATGTCAGAAGTTCCTTTCCAAATTCAAAGGCAACTTTCTCATCCTGAAAAAAACTTTGTCGAGATGCAGTAAAAGGAAAATTGTGGTTTCCAGTACTGCTGCAATTAGAATTTTACGATCTTAAATATGATTAACCAGTTCAAGCCGGATTGTTTTTGCCGAAAATATAGTAGGCAACTTCTGATATACATGCCAAACGCCACATACACTGATTCGCAAGAGTCATTTCAACAGTATTTGTACGATATTTCTTGCCAAAATTGCATATTTTTCAACAATCTGGGGTGTGCAATGGAACGTAAATTGTAGAACAATAGGCCGTGCACAGCGGCCAATTCAAGATCAACACACGGTCCGCCCCTACAGACTTTGTGTGTGTGCACAAGAGACACGAGGGAAGAGCATGTTTTGACGTCACCCGGAGGCGAGTCGAGGCACGCTTGACCCCGTCAGCCGTGCCTGTGTATAAAAACAGCCAGTGCGTGTTAACAGGGCCTCCGACGCGAACTGGTTACATATTGACTTTACCTCAAGTTTTAGTCCGTGCGCCAGCACTTCAAGCACTCTGTTGTGAATCGGAAGACACAAGTCAAACAGTTGGTTGAAGGTAGCTTTGAAGCCTGGGCATTCTGTTTCTGTGGGCCAAACCTATAGAAACCAAGCATATGGCAAAACGGGTTTAGAATTTAAAATATGTTGAAATATTTTGGAAGTTTTCGGACTAGGTTGTGACATTGTTTCACAGAAATACTGAAAGTTATTTTGGTTGCGAATTTCCTATGGCAAAAACTTTGTTACTATTTAGCAAAGATTTTTTCTCCAAACATTATATTGTCCACTTGTCCAGGCCACACGTCTTAAATTAAACCCTGGCAAAAATAATTACTCTGGTAACCAAAAAACTTACGTCATTGGCTGCCATGGGGTTGAAGTTGAACGCTTCTTTGAGATCGCCAAAAGGTCGCTTAGGATTGGTGCTGCCACCAAAAAAATGTGAAAATTAAAATATAAGTTTCCATTTATTTTGTATACAAAATTAATTTAATAGAAATAAGGCAGCTCCAGTAGTGGATCTGGTGGGAAGGGGGGGGGGTGCAACCCCCCGTTTAGCCACTGAAATTGTTTATGATACTAATAAAAGATTCAAAAATAATAACAAAATTGACTTAAAAAGTTCCTAAATTGATTCTCAAATTGCCTTAGAACCCTCTATACTAGGGGCACGCCTTCTCTCAAATAACAACCCTCTCCATGCATTTCCTGAAAGCTAGCCCCGCCCCTAAACCCTCCGTGTGTTTTCATAATCAGATATTTTCAGCTGTGAAGAGAAACAAAACGTTCCTAACAAAATTGGATGGCCGAATGTTTCGATCCTAGAATAAACAGAATCTGCCACATTATTGCCTTTGAGAAAGATTCAGTTAAGGTCGAAACGTGTAATTCATGTAATATGCCGTCTAATTTTGCTGATTTGCATATTTCAGGTCAATCCAGTCGGTAAGCATTTGGCAGCAGGTTTATTCATTTTGACAAAATATTGAACTTACTTTTCCCTCTCTAGATGCACGTAACCATGACTACCTTTCCCAGGGATTCGTGGGTATTTCTGTTTGACCTCAAGTGGCAGGTCAAAAAATGCCTTGGACACCCGATACATTTCTTCAACCTATAAGTTACAAAAAAGTGAAAATTCAAAAATAAATGTTCATACTCTTGAATCCTAAAGAAAACCCTAAACACTGAGGAAAGAACTTGGATACCCAATACATTTCCTTGAACAAGAAGAATAGAAAAGGACCAAAAATAACTTCACAGGAGCTTGGAGAAGAAATTTAGAAATCAACAGTTCCTCCTGAATCCTACAAAACCCAACACTTAGAAGACAATGTTGTTTGATTGGTCACATATCCGTTTTGTTTGGATTTGTTGGATTTTCACATTGATATCAGCAACAGAACACAGATTGTACGTGTTCTAGCTGTCGGATTGTTTGATTTATCCAGCAAACTGTTTGATTGCAATTGTTGGATTTTCTAGGATTGAGCAAGCTGCCTTGAGGCTGCATTTAGTCCGAAAATTTGGGACTCTAAATACTGTGTATGAGAGTCCCAAAACTTAAGGCATCCATATTGTGCAAAAGTTTGTGCTGCATAATAAAACCAGTGTGAATCAAATGTGCAAGCTTCTTACTCACTACAGTTTCTTCAATAATCCCCGAAACTTCTGCCCTGCAAAGTTGCTGTTGTGAGCATTGCATCACCAAAAATTCAGCGTTTAATTCTAATTTTGCAGGGAGTTATCGAAATCCAAATGCGAAACATCACGTTGATGTGTACTGCAATGCATTGTGCAAAAAGACTCCTCAGCTAAAACAATTTCATCGTGTAGATAAAACAGCGCCCTCTTGTTGATCTGAGTGAATGCAGAATGTTTCATTTTTTAACAGAGGGCGCTATGTTCATTTGGCCATCGATTAAAAAACAAGTAAGCTGCAAGGCTCTTCCTACACCTACCCAGAATACCTTGGGAAACACACCACCATTTCTAAAGCATGGAGAATAACGTGGATGGTTTTTGAACTGTCAAAAACTTGCCTTAAAATTGGAGTTAAGGTCTCAAATTTTGCAGGTGACATGCTTGCAACTTAAGCATTTTGATGTATGTGTTGTGTGGGCATTAATTAGCCTAATGGTGAGTAAAAAAACGTCAGTAGTAATTTTGCACGTTTTTATGCACTCACGGTCCCAGTCTGGGCTGCATTATGCTCTAAACCTGAACGACATAGGCAATGTTTTGTTAGTGATCTTGAATCCTCCCAAACCCTCCACTGTGTAGGAACCAATGGGAAACGCTTAATGCCCCGGAACTTTCCAGGAGCATCACATAGCCCAATATAAAGCCTCTATACCTTCCTCGATCCTACAAAATCCTCCAAAACCCTCCAAGTGGGTTTTGAAGGATAGGGGAATTAAGCCGAAGAATCCAAATCTATTTAAACCTTTTCCTGTGGGAAGTCGGTGTTGACAATGAAGAAGAAGCCAATGGTAGTCAGTGCGTTGTGTACATCATCAACAAGCTTCTGAAACTGACTAGCGTCGGGTTTCTCCAGAGACAAACGATAGGCGCTGAAGTCGACGACGGGAATCTCACTGGACGAATCACCCATGATCAAACCAGAGTGTATCTAGAATGGACAGAACTATAAGCAGCAAAACTCACTGTCATCATTTTTATTTTTCTTGATGGGTCTGAATTCATAAGTATTGACCTTGACTTTTTTTGAGCAGCATCACTGAAATAAATGAATTTTTAACAAATTATTTTTGCTTCCTAGTTTCAAAATAAAAAACCCCAGGAAATCATAGATCAAGTATAATTCACTTAATTGACTTTTGACACAATAAAATAAATATGCATTTATCTTATTTTATCCTGAAAGTAAATAAATATGAATGGGTATTAAATAAACTTGCGACACAATAAACAATGTACTCACTTTTAGTTAGAATGTCGGCGATTTTGATTTGTGGTGTCAACGTTTAACTAGAATTCAATCTTTGTTACTGCTCAACTTGCGCTTGAAAGGTCGAATTTGTTGTACCGGCCATCATCTGACACACGTCTGACAAATGTCTGATGACGTACGTGGCGCGGAAGGTTGCGTCGCGTTCGGCGCACAAGGGGGAAATGAATGAACTGCTTACCCTGTTCTGGGGTAAAAATGTCGGTGTCCGTCAATCGGTCTCTCTTTTCTGTATTATAATCTTGATCTCCGTCCAGGTATGTTGTTTATTACTATTCAATATTACATCAAAAGGTGTTGAGAAAGAATAAACAAACTTGTGAGACCAAAGTGTGTACGTGCGAAAGTGCGTATGTGATCGAAAGGGGGCGCTTCAGAAGTGTTTATGTTTTTTTGACGAGGATCTCCATTTTTTTAGAGGGGAAGTTCATACAAATATTGCAGGCGGTTTTTCGATTTTTACGCTTCAGTGCATTTTAAATACACAATGAGATTTATCAATACAGTTTATATATCTTTTATAATTGTTTATTATTCATAATGCTTCAATTTCGGTTTTTATAACCGAATAGTTCGACATAAAATGTACATAAAAGTTCTGCCATCAAATGGAAGAGTCTAAGTAGGTGACCTCGTCATAAGGTCAAACACGTGAACTCTTGTCAACAACCGAACGAAGCTGAGCGAAGGGCGGTCGTTTCGCAGGAAACTCGACACAATTTCCGAAATGGAAGGCAAGAATTACTTTTGTAATTGTTTTCTGACGAACAACATTTTCATACAGGAGTACAATCTCCATGTAACGTATCACAACGACGGACGGTTTGAGAAAGACTGGAAAAAGGTGAGTAACTCAATTAGATTCGATTTGCCCAGTTTCCGGACAGTGTTCAAATATGTACACTTAGCTTGGCTTGAATAACTCCAGCTCTAATGCCTACCGCATTAGAGCTGGAGGCACAACTACGTTTCAAGAACCGGATCGTAAGAATCCCGAAGTCCTGGACTGTACATCCCCAGTGCATTACAAAAACGGTCCATTTTCCCTATATTATCCCGACCCAGATTCCATAATTCATACCTCATCGTACCATGCAGCAGACATTCATGAAGCTATAATCAACTTCAAACAGAACAACAAAGACTAAAATATGAAATTTTTTGATGGTTTTGGTGGCGATTCTCCAGAAACCATGAGAAAACGTCGCGCAACACTATTCTGCTGTTGACCAAAAAAAGCAACATCGACCAACAAAAACATCAGATTTACCTCAAAAGGCCTCCAAATTACTAAATACGCCACCTGAGGTACTAAAAATTGCTTACGAGTCGGATGAAAGTTAAATTTCCCGTTCAATTCTGAGAGCTTCCCTCGCGATAGTGAACACATTAAATTTCTGACTCGTGTTTGAACAACGCGATGTGGACGTACGTACGTTCCCAGCATTCATTCGATGGTCCCAGCGCGATTCCGTTACCAAGCATGCTACATCGATTATGATAATGAGTAGACTGGAAACTGTCAAAGGGCAAATTCAGTGTTATGGAAAAATGTAATGTCTGGGACAGAGCATATTAAAATATTAAGCATGATGTCTAAATAATGATTCAGAAAAATGATCCAAAACTCCTAGTCTGTAAACTCCTTGACCGTAATGGATGTGTCAAACTATCAGGTTATTCACTGAGCTCTTGAAGAACTAAAAATGGTCTGATTTGTTATGTTAGTGATGCTGGAATTGCACCTTATGGTTTGTGGTTTTTCTTCTCCAGATTTTAACAAGAAAAGGATGCAGCGAGGAACACTGGGAAGAGATTCTTCAACAGGTGAGAAATTTTATTAAATCTGAAAGGGAATTCATATACAACATCATTGCAAATATCACAAAACAAAATTATGAAATTATTATGAAATACCTTACAGGACTGTATACCTTTGATTTGGTTCAGCTCCCAAGTAGAAAAAACTAGGTTCGGATGAGGAAAACACTCAAACTTCCTAAGTTGGACAGTTAGTTGAAAGAACAACTGACTTGATATGTCAAAAGGATAAATACATACATAGTTTCAGTATAGTATAATTTCATATCAACAGTTTAATTTTAAAAGCGTCTCAAGGATCATTCACACTGCTTCAAATTTTATTTATGCTAAGAATGCAGACATTACATTTCAATACCGAATTGCCAATAAATTTGTTACACAATATTTCTATAATATCGCTTTAAACTTCATCGACGTAATCAGATCTTATACATCCTGTACATATTTAATGATTGACACATACAGTAATGATACCAATTGTATACGTAATTCAAATGCACGGTAACTTGATGTACCTACATGTACATTGGTTGACAAGCTTTTTTTTTCTTTTTAAAGGTTTTTATATGTCATGATGGCATTTTCTGTGCAGATTTGTTCGTTGACAAATTTCTATCCTGCTGTCAAATAAACAAAAGTGTTACATCCAGAAACATATCACCTTAAAAAATAGTTCGTTATCATAATCTTCAAACATAACTGAATTACAGTTGAAGTCAGTGTTAGAGAATTACTTCATCACCAAGCAGCTAATCAGGCCTCTACAGCCATGAAATTGAGAACATTTAACCAGAATAAAAGCACTTAATTTACATCGAGTGAACATAAATCTGTTTCACATTGAAATCCAATTAATTTCAATTAGAAAGTAATCATTCTTTTGATTGTTTTAACATATTTCGAAGAAATGCTGAAAACCACACATTCCTCAGATAATTTACACAGCCATTGCATTGTGAGTGTTCCGTTTTATTGTTTATGTGGAGGTTATTTGGATGTGTCTTGAGCCTCATCTTGGAGTAGGAATGTTTAGTTGTGTGCTCAGGATGTTTGTGTGGTCTTCTGGTTACATGTTCGAATCCTGTATTGGCACAGTCAATCTGTTCAGTTTTTTCAGAGTCCTGTGAGCAGAGCAGAGTGGTTGTAATGAATTGTGGCAGCGGGTTCGAATCCTGTTTTAGTGGGTACTCGAAACATGTATACTCCCTATCACCGTTATTGGTTCTATGCTGGGATTGAGACCTTGAGGAATGACATATCGGGCAGGATTCACAATGCACAGAGTGTAGCTGTATTCTGAAATTGATTGCCTTTCACCTTAACGGTGACAATCATAAAGCCGTATCTACAGCTGTGGTGCAGGTTGGATGCATATTGCAGAGCCTTGGACATTACACAGACGATCATTCCATTGCCCAACTTCCAGTACCTCAGCGCAGTGCTCTCCACCCAATGAGTTAGAAGGTTCCCCTTCCGCCCAGTTCCAGTACTCCACCTCATCAGTACCATCCTGACACTTCCAAGTACCTGTCAAAAGAAATTACAATGATAACTAAATACAGAGGTGGATTTGTCAATTTGCTAAACAATTATTCTTTAAAAGAACAGAACATGTTATTCCTTTCCAATTATAAAGACACGACCCTACAACAGTGACACAATATTTTCTATGAAATTTTCATGTGCGAATCTATAGGTAAAACCTATGCAAAAAATACACAAAAAGTTGAATCTCCAAACATTTAGTTGTTCTTGTTGCATTGACAAGACGACGTTCTTAGCATTCTTGCATGTATTAGTCGACATTCTGTGTTTTAATCTCCTGATGATAGACTCACTAGTATTAAAACAAAAACAATTATGCCAAAAAAGAGAAAAATCTCAAAAACATAGGTAGAACTCAAACCTCGGATTTTAACTAACCTTCTGTCTCAAGATCATTGCAGTTGATCCAAAGCCTGGTCCCTGGTGCTAGAAGCATGAGGAAATCTGTTTCCTCCTGAGACTGTGGCACGACCAAGACACTTCCCATCTTGATGCACTCATCTCTTGCCTCAAACCAATTGAGACGCTCGGTGATGGCTTTGTTGCATTGGTGTCCCCACTGGTACCAAGTAGGAGGACACGCCCATCCATGCCCAATGGAGGCCTTACACATATCGTTACCACCAGTGCAACCCATCATCAGATGAAGGCTTATCAAGCTAAAGATGAACAGTTTAGACACCATCATCTCTCACGTCTCAACCGAGTGGTGTCTAGCGGTGAAATGATCAGACTGCATTTCGTAAAGAGCTCTGGTTTGCAATATTTTCTTTTAATTACGTGACTGAAGATACCAAAGCATGTTGGAAGCTCGGCCTTTGTATCATGGACAATATATAGGAACTGGTGTATTGATAAGAGGTAATAAAAACAACCATGGTGACTTCTGCTCCAATTTGTGTAACAATAAAGATATCTCAAAATGTGAGAATTTACTTGCGTTTTGCATTAAATAATAGTGAACAAGAGTTCTGCCTCTGATATTTTCTTTAAATTGGCGAGAGTCACGATAGAATTGACTTGCGGTTTGCATAAAACAATAGCGAACAAGAGTTCTGTCGCTGATATTTTCTTTTAATTAGGAGAGCGAAGATACCAAAACACTTTGGAAGCTCGGCCTTTAATTGTATCATGGCAATATGAACTGATGGAGTGTATTGATCAAAGGTAATAATAACAACCACTGCAGCTCTTAATTGCTCCCATTTTTATAACAATGAGACATCGCAAATGAGAATTGGTTACGAAATGCATTAAATAATATGCAGAGGTTCCTGCTTCTTAATTAACTTGTAGATTTGACCTTATTGAATACAAACGCGTGCATGGGTTGTAACTGGACCGAGTGTGTACCACTCATTTCTACCAAATCTCTCTGAAATGTTTGAAAGGAAGGGACATACATGAAGGTTGCCTGATGGTAAAACATTCCAACATATAATGATTTGAAGCATATTGAAAACATTTTCACTTATACCAATTTATTAGATTGCCTCACACAGAAACACATTTTTGTTCATCGGTGCTTGTTTTATGTCTTTACACCATCTAATCATGGACAATTCTGTTTACTTCAAGTGTGTGGTAAATTGATTTTCGCATTTCTATGCCTATGAAATTTAAATATTTACTGTACAAATTCAATAACATGATTTCATCAACAACAAAAAAAGAATTTCATATGTTAAAAAAAAATATGTAGCACCAAACATAATAATGACTGTAAAGCCAATTTTATAAGCTACTTTTACATGAAAAAATTACTGAAATTGCTCAATCCGTTCAAAGGAGTGTCACCATTTAAACAAAATGACCCAAAAACCTCTTTTGTCCAAAAATGCGATTTCAAGAATCATCGTCACAATTGTCTTCAAACATCACCAGCAATAAAAGCCCAGTTTAAAAGTTAAAAATATTTTACAAAGTCCTTTTGAAGGCCGGTCTTTTAAAAAACGTGGGTTTAATAAAACATTTTGTTTGCCTTACCAGGGTTGTCAATGAAAATGTTGTGTAGGGCCCACTACAGTCATTGACAGTTGTTGAAACAAGTATTCTGTGTCATTTTCTTTGTTGTTCCAAACTGTCAGAATACACAAAAAACTGTTGTTGTTTTTTGGACGAAACAGGTTTTAGGGTGATATTCTTTGAACGGATTGAGCAATTTCAGTAATTTTTTCATCAAAAAGTAGCTTACGAAATTGACTTTCCAGTCATTATTATGTTAGGTGCTACATATATTTTTTAAATATGAAATATATTTTTTGGAGTTTGGGTTCCGCTTTTTTTGACACACCCTGTGGCCTAATAAACCTAGACGTGGAAACTGACAGACAGGATCTTTACCAGAACCAATACATAATGTTTTTTGTTTGTTGAAGTAACGTTTCATCTTCCTGATATAAAATCCGAAATATACATTTCAACCAACCTTCTTCCTCAAGATCATTGCAATTGATCCAAAACCGAGTTGGCAGTAGACGCAAAAGGAAATCAATTTCTTCCCGAGACTGTGGCACGACCAAGACATTTCCCATCTTGATGCACTCATCCATTGCCTCAGACCATGCCAAGCGCTCAGTGATGGTTTTGTAGCATTTGTCACCCCACTGGTACCAAGTAAGAGGACACGCTCCTCTACGGCCATCCATGGAAGCCTTACACATCTCGTTACCTGCTCAACCTCTCATCAGATGAAGGCTTATCAAGCCAAAGATGAACCGTTGAGACACCATCATCTCTCATATCTCACTCTGCTGGTGTCTAGTGGTGAAATGATCGGACTGCACATCAAGTAATCAACTTCTAAAGCAAAATGCAGCTATTCTTAAGACAAAAAAAATTCAGTATTTTTTTTTTTGGGGGGGGGGTTAAGATCTGCTCAAAACCACACATAAGGTGTATCCTTAATACTTTGCACATTGCTTTTCATTGTAATTATTGTATTTAATTGTTTGAATAGAGTCTTGAGCCTCAACTTATCTTGGGAATGTTCGGTAGTGTGGTCACGATGTGTGCAAGCTTCTTATGGTTACGGGTTCGATTACCGTGATTGACAGTCACTCTGTTCATCATTTCACAGTCCTGTGAACAGGGCAGAGCAGAGTGGTCTGAATGAGTTTTAGTTCTTGTGGCAGCGGGTTCGAATCCTGTTGAGAGTACTAAGATGTATACTCCTTACAATGACTGTTATTTGTGAAGCGATTGAGACCTTGATGAATGACACATATCAGGCAGCAATCACAATGCACAGCTATGTACATGTATTCTGGAATTGATTGCCTTTCACCTCATGATGACAATCGTTCATTATTGTTTATAGTGGATCTTTAAAAGTGCAGTTGTGGTGCAGGTCCGATGCATATCGCAGAATATTGCCAATTACATGGAATGTCATTCCATTTCTCATTTGGCGATGCCACAGCGCAGTGCTCTTTACCTATCATGTTATTAGGCTCCCCTGGCGACCAATTTCTGTACTCCACCTTATTGGTACCATCCTGACACTTCCAAATACCTGTCAGAAACGATACGAGGACAAAGAAACACGGCATTCGGTAATGGGAATTATCAAACATTGACTCTTCAGAACAAACAATTCACAATGCTCTTGAATTAATTTTGTTGGATATTGTTTGTTTATTTAAATTTCAACCAACCTTCTTCCTCAAGATCATTGCAATTGATCCAAAACCGAGTTGGTAGTAGACGCACAAGGAAATCAGTTTCCTCCCAAGACTGTGGCACGACCAAGACACTTCCCATCTTGATGCACTCATCCTTTGCCTCAGACCATGTCAGGCTCTCGGTGATGGTTTTGTAGCATTTGCCACCCCATTGGTACCAAGTAGGAGGACACGCTCCTCTATGGCCACCCATGGATGCCTTACACATCTCGTTACCTGTGCAACCTCTCATCAGATGAAGGCTTATCAAGCCAAAGATGAACCGTTGAGACACCATCATCTCTCACATCTCACCCGACCGGTGTCTAGTGGTGAAATGATCGGACTGCACGTCAAGTCGACTCATCTTGAAGAGCATCAGCACACCAACTCTGATATTTTCTTTTAATATCACTGGAAGATATCAAAACAAGCTGGACATCTATCTATTGTATCACTGTCACTCACTTCTGCTTAGTGTGTCGATAAGTGACTGGAGGAAACTAATTATTTGAATCCTGATCCCGCGTTTGTGACCGCAAAACGTCTCAAATAATGAGAATTGACACGTGTTTACCAAGATGCATCCAATCTTTCATGAGTTGTTGCAGATTGTTGCATTAACTTGAAATGACATGGCATTTACAAGGGATCCAATCAAGACATCGATATGCAAGTAGGCCACGCTGCATTGAACGTTGTTATCAGAGGCAATACTTGTGCAATTGTACGCCAAAAGTGAAATTTTATCATATCCAAGCCAGTCAAAAATGGTAGAACCCAAAACCAGACCATGGAGTTTCATAAGCCGTGAGATGGAATAACATTATCACAATGTGAATTGCGTGGGGATCTACAAATGGGGCTAGTAGGAGACTTAATCCCCCCCCCCACTCAAATATATTTCCCTCAGAATAGAGAAAACATGGCCAGTAATTCCTAGTTCTAAGCAGATGTACAAAGATGTACAAAGTTTCCACAGATCAAACATTTGCCCCGACCCAGATAGATCACTTGCCTGATTTGTCTTTCAGGTACCCTTTCTCCTCTCCCCAAACTGATGCAAGCTAAGTTTGATAATATACATTGTAGTCATTTTCTTTACATCAAGGTGAGGGCGGTACGTGGTTGAGAGACGGTTTGGTCATGACAGTTTAGAAAGACGAGAGCTCATTGCAGCCAGATATTCCGGTACGCCTGTGCATGCACATCGCAGAGTGCGGAAATTTTATTGATAAATTTACAGACAGAATTGTTACACTGAAGTCTGTTGACAATAATTCTAATGTAACTGTAGCAGCTTACAAATACAGTCTCCATTTTACTACATATTATATTTTGACATAAAAGAAAATTAAAAAAATATCAGCCATCATGATGACATGATTAAAACACTTGAAAATACTGTGTAAATCTCAGGTTTGCATTGATGGTGATCAAAAGTGCAAAACAGATACATTCCCAAGTAACTTGAGGCGTGTTTGTAACTAAAAACATCAACACCATATTTATTTCCATACATACGGGTACATGTATATTCAGGTTGTCTGAAACACTGTAATTTCAACCCAAAACAACACGTTTTTACTTTTTTTTTTAAACATTTATTTTCTCAGGTAGCTTATATACATAACGTACCCATTTTGAGAAAACTTTTGTCCAAACAAAAGGAGAAAAAGGATTTTCTTTCTCTTATTTTTACGTAAGGACATTTCACGTCATTCCATCATCTTGACAAATGTATTGTTTTAGCATGATGGTTTTCTAAGCTAAAGTTTATATTAAGTATTTTAAAGGGTTTTTTTTTCAAATGAAAAACTTGTCAATCGGTTTTCAAAGCAAACAATTTGACAATGCAGCCTCTCAGCTTCTTTAAATATTTTTAATTCATGTCACAGTTTAAAATTGTCACATTGTAAACTTATGATGTAAGTGGATTCCTTAAAGAAAAATTACAAGGTTTTGAAATTTTCAGTTAAAAAGTTACTTTCCTCTCAGTTCCTCGAACAAGGCAAGATGTGGTCAGAACGAGTTTTAGTTCCAGTGGTTACAGGTTCGAATCCACATCAGGCCAATGTATGTTCATTGTGGATTTTAAAAGTGCAGCTGTGGTGCAGGTTGGATGCATGTTGCAGAGCGTAGCTCATCACACTGGTTATCGTTCCATTTCCCATCTTCCGCTACCTCAGCGCAGTGCTCATCACCAAAGTTGTTAGGTTGCCTTGGCGACCAATTCCGGTACTCCACCTCCTCCGTACCATCCTGACACTTCCAAGTTCCTGTGGATCAAAGGCAGTACAATACATGAATACAACAGTGGAAATAAAACTGAATGTTAAAAGAAATCAATTTTGTATTTGTTTGAATGTTTATCCAGTCTTCTCCCAATTCAATCATGTCATCCAGTCTCAACTCATGACAAGTTATTCACACACATGTTAACTGCACTGCATTCCTTTGTTTTTTGGTCCATCGTGTGTGACCTTACTTGTGATTTGATTTTAGCTCTGATCGTCAACATGAAACAGGTTTTGCTCATTTCTGAAATAGAATCCGAACTTAACATTACAACAAACCTGCTTCATCCAGATCGTTGCAATTGATCCAAAACTTGGATTGCTGTAGATGCATGAGGAAATCAGTTTCCTCCTGAGACTGTGGCACGACCAAGACACTTCCCATCTTGATGCACTCATCCTTTGCCTCAAACCATGTAAGAGGCTCGGTGATGGCTTTGTAGCATTTGCGTCCCCACTGGTACCAAGTAGGAGGACACGCCCATCCATGCCCAATGGAGGCCTTACACATCTCGTTACCACCAGTGCAACCCATCATCAGATGAAGGCTTATCAAGCCAAAGATGAACCGTTTAGACACCATCACCTCTCACATCTCACCCGACTGGTGTCTAGTGGTGAAATGATCGGACTGCACGTCAAGTCGACTCATCTTGAAGAGCATCAGCACACCAACTCTGATATTTTCTCATAATTTCACGAAGGAAGATATCAAAACACGCAGGACCTCTTTCTATTGTTTCACTGTCACTCGCTTCTGCTTACAGTGCCAATCGGTGACAGGAGAAAGCCAGTAAATTTGACTCCTGACCGCGAAACGTCTCATATAATGAGAATTGACACGTGGTTACCAAGGTGCATTAAATCTGTCTGAAGTCATTGCTGTGTTTGTTTCATTAACTTTGAAGATGGTTTGGTATTAATAAGAGATTCGCGGGCGACATCAATATATGCAAGTAGCCTGCCACTCTGTATTTGACCTTGTTTGCAGAGGCAATATTCGTGCAATTAATTACCAAAAGTGAAAGGCTATCAAATCTTAATTAAGAATATACCTCATCCAGTCAAACGTACGCGTGATGGAAATTCAACAGTGTCATAATAAACTGTGAGATGGAATAACATGCTTACAATGTGTCTTGCTTGTGGATACACAAATGGGGTGGGGTGGATCGAGTCTTAAACACCCCATCCCAAGAATTTCCCTAAAAACAAAAACAGATACCATGTATACATGTACCATTCCTACTAATGCACTAGAATGCATCAGAAGGCATCAAGATGTACAAAGTTTATCAAAATTTTCCCCCAACCACATTGACTTGTTTGGTTTGTATTTCTGTGACATATTGTTACAAAATTAAGTCAGTTTATTATTACAATCCAGGTGAGAGCAGAGGTTGGGAGAAGAAAACGATTAGGAGATGACAGTTTAGAACGACGAGAGCTCATTGCAGCCAGCTATACGCCCGTGCACCCACACATTTATACCTTACAGGTAATTGAGTATATAGGCACCTTATTGGAGGTGGCACAGTCAGCTATTTGAGGTGCTATACTATATACTTTAGTTGAAGGAACATGGGCACATGCAACTTGCGGGCGACCACAGCGGCACCTCGGTTTTTGCTCAAGGCTGAATTACTTTATATATGAGAGAGTAATTGGTAAAAACATTTGTCCACAAGACATTTTTGATTCAGATATTTCTTAAAATTTACTTTCGTAAGAGAACCTTTTTCTCTGGAGATTTAGTAACTTTAATTGTAAGATGGGGTTTGTTTCTTTTCATACAATTGTGGATCATAATTAAGCCTTTCAAAACTTTTGTTTGTAAAACTAGCTAAAAATGTCAAAAACATTTTGTGGTTTCAATAACATACTTTGGGGAACATTAATAATATTGTGGTAGAATTTCATTTGTCAAACAGGTGCTTTGTCCCTATAAAACTGAACCTATATGACTTATTTCTCTGTTTAAAAGGAAGGCAAAACGGACTAGAAATGTACTTTTATTAAGTAATGTTCTTTTCTCCTGTATTTTCTATTTGATAGAGAAGTTATTTTTCATCCGAGTTCCTCAGCCTCGTGGAATATTCCAAAAAAGACGCATCCGATGTGGCAGGATTGATGACAAAGTTACATCAAGAAAATGGTAACAGTAATGCTAAAAGTAAAGACTTTAGTTTGGGGATGGGGAAATTAATTTAGACATTATGCATGTATACTTTTGTCACAGTTCATTTGAATATCTTATTTTTTGTTTTAATTTTAGACAGATGAGTGACATGTGATGGACTCGTGTTTGACTTGTGATTGACTTGTGATTGAGTTGTGATTAACTTGTGAAAATCTTGTGATTCACTTGTGATTAAATAAAAGCTACATAGTAAAAGAAGTCTTTTCATCCAAATATAGAGTAAGTTGAAGTGTCCTCTTTTCTGATTTTGTGTGTGGTTTTGTTTACAGCTGAGAAAGTGTTTTCGTTTCCTATCTTCACTCACCAATTCTGCCGAGATTTCATCCAAGAGATTTGCCATTTTGAGAGCACGGACCTACCCAAGGGACGACCCAACACCATGAACAACTATGGGGTGAGAAAGATGTCAGCCTCGATCATAAAATGCAAATATAGCCACTTGATGGTTCTCTCATAAAATACAAGGACGAATCACTATAGCAATGAGCTGGATTCGAATCTCATTTGATCCCCCTGTTGTAACTTCTTAATTGAAAGCAGACTAAAGGTTGTGAATCCTTTGTATTCTTGCAGGTTTTACTGAATGAACTAGGCTTTAACGACCGGTTTGTGACCCCTTTGGTCCGCGACTACGTGACCCCAATCACACGACTCCTGTTTCCGGACTGTGGGGGCGCTTTGCTTGACACGCACAAGGCCTTCGTCGTCAAGTACAAAGTGGACGAGGATCTGTCGCTGGCGTATCACTATGACAACGCAGAGGTGACCCTCAATGTGTCACTGGGGAAGGAGTTCACGGAGGGGTCATTGTACTTTGGTGACATGAGATGGGTGAGTGTACCGGTCTAAATGTTAGTTCACTTTCTAGACCACTTGAGGGTACTATTCATGAACATTTTGGGGATATGCACAGAGGTAAATCCAAAATTTGTAGTCGAGTCCTCACAAGTGAATCACAATTTAAGTCATCACAAGTCCTCACAAGTCAGACACAAGTCAAATGCACACATTAAGGCAATCACAAATCAATCTCAAGTCCTCATAAATCAGTCACAAGTCAATCACAACTCCTCTCGAGTCAATTGTCCTCGGAGGTCAATTGCAATTAGCTCTCAAAAGTCCTCACAAGTCAATCACAGTTAAGTCCTCACAAGTCAATTTCTAGTCCTCATGTCAATTACAAGTCCTCACAAGTCAATTACAAGTCTCGATATGTCCTCACAAGTCAATCACAATTAAGTCCTCACAAGTCAATCACAGTTAAGTTCTCACAAATCAATCACAGTTACAAGTCAATCACAGTTAAGTCCTCACAAATCAATCACAGTTAAGTCCTCACAAGTCAATCACAGTTAAGACTTCACAGGTAATTACTAGTCCTCAAGTCAATTACAAGTCCCTGATGAGCCTTTGGTCAAGTCACAAGTTCAAATTAACTTCAGTAAACAGCATGGCTCTGTCAGTGTTCACCCCCGTTACTTATGACTATGGCTTCCATTTAGGACTAGGACTTGTGACTTTTGATTTGATTTGTGATTGTCTTGTGATCTGACTTGTGATATTTTTTTATTCAAACTTGTCATCAACCACAGCCCTGATAACTTGTAATCAACTTGTGGTTTGACAGTTACTAATATTATTTAACTTGTGATTCAAACGATTTGAACTGGCTTTTGAATAGCTGGTAATTGACGCGTGGTTGACATGTGGTTTGTGATGACTTGTGATATGACTTGTGATCGACCGGACTACAGCTCTAAAAGGTAATGTGTTAAAGATTGATTGGTAAAAACCTGATACCACTTTCTTGTTTCATAAAAGGTACCTTTGCACGAGACAACGTGCACAGAGTACACTCACAAGCCAACCTTCGCCCTCCTGCACAGAGGTCAACACATGCACGGTGCCCTTCCTATCGGGACCGGTGAACGCTACAATCTGATTGTGTGGATGAGGTCGTCAAGGGTCAGGAATAAGCGCTGTCCGATGTGCGACCAGAGACCACAGTTGGTGGAGACAGTCGGTTTTGGGGATGGGTTCACGAAGGAAGAAGAGGAAATGGTCAATGTATGCAATACTTTGTGATCTTCTTCGTCTTCCTTACCAGTACAGACTTCATGGCTGAAGATAAATGCACTGCCAGAACACCGGGGCGAACCACTTCTCTTTTAGTGATATATGTTACTGGGTTGTTTTATGTGCTTTATACAACGCACGGGACCTACGGCTTCATGTCCCATCCAAAGGACGAAGCAATAATGGTTAAGTGTGTCTTGCTTAAGGACACAAGTTAACTTTCAGGATAAATGCAAGTGATCATATACATGTACCTTCAAGAGAACAAGTACAACTGTTAATGATCTTGCACTGACGCTTCAAAGCTTTTGTTTATTTGTTGATTTTATTGAAGTTTTTAACCTTTTCGGGCCAGGCATTATGGAGTCATTTGAGGCATGAGTCCTGGACAGAATTAGAATCAATTAAATAAAAAAAGGAAAAAAAGTAAAGAGAAATTAAATTGCTCTTGGTGATTTGTACTGTGACAATGGATCAACAGCCACCATGAACATTGGACGAAGTGGAAAGTTGGAGACTGTTTTCTGAAATACAAATTAAACATAAATATGGACAGCTTTGAACATTGCTTTCTTGATGAAATGATTAAGTTTTATTTGAATCAACAGATAGCGTCACTTATTTATCAGTAAATAAAACAAACTGCTTTTAATTTTGTGGGATTTTGTACAAAATAACAGCAGAAAAACAAATACCCAAAAGATCTTATACAAACATATGTTTATTGTGTGAAATCTAAATTATATTTTAAATAAAACAATATGAAATACTTAACAGTATTTTCCCTAAATGTTTTGTATAGGTTTTCTGATTTACTTTGCATAATACCTGGAATGTGTTGTTTAGCTGCGGTAAAACTGTTGTATTTCAGCCTAGGAAATTTGAACCTGATTTTTTTTTACTGAATTCAAATAGATTTTGACAATACAGCGACAGTGAAAACAACATAGAATAAAAGAATTTGGAAACTTAAACACAAGTACTATGCACCCAACCTTTGAACCCAGAATATTTATAATTATATATATAAATGTCATGTCTCTTTCCTCTTGGCGTAGTGGTGACGCAGATGGTGCCAGATACCCAGACACATGCAGACTAGTCTGGTGTCCTGACACGTCGACTTTGATGTGGCGAACTTGTACTGCTGCCTGTTTGGAGAAAACAATGTTAACGTGTTAATCTAGAGAAGACGATTGCATATTCAACATAGTAGGAATAACAGCCCCATTCATTGCGCACATGAATGCACAGTCTGGATCAAGGCTTTATGTTTAATAACCAGAATTTGTATTAACAGAGTTTGTACTAACGAGAATCGACTGTACTCTGTGACTCAGTCAGTCATCAGTCTGAGGGCAATAGGATGGGCCTTTGGGTTGAGCAGAAAGTCAGGTTTTTTTTCCTGGTTTACATTTCTTAAAAACACAAAATATATGTTGAGTTTCCGCATG